GGAACACGATTAAAGATGTCGACATCTGACCATCCTGGAATAGATGGTCAGACGGAGAGAGCGAATAGTGTCTTCAAAGAGATCCTTCGAGGATATGTCAACTTGTTCTCGAGCTGAAGCGAATTCCTCCCGATGGTGGAACCCGCCATCAATAATTCGGTGAATGCTTTAACACATCATACACCGTTCTACGCGAATGTCTTACGCCATCCACGTGTTCCCGCCCTTCTCAATTGTGACTCTTGGATAAGAGGGGAGGGACTCGCTCGAGCAAAAACCGTTCTGACTCTGGCTCATCACGTGGCGACGCTATCGTCTTTAAGTACGATGCCTATGTCGATCAAGTCGACATCGAAGAGGAAGACCACTCAATAATAGCGTCATATCTATTATTGAGTCGAATGATGATGATGATGCCGGCATTTTCAGCATTGCCAACGACTATTCCAGCGAGGATGATGACACCCTCGCTGATGAACAGGAAGAGGAAGAAACTCTTTCTGCAGTTCGCACAAGGCGAACTGGACAAAACAACACCTCGTCAGCAGAAAGATTTCTTCTGGCCAGAGAAGCAGTGGTCCGTTTCATGCAGGACTCCATCGCTCACGCGGTGGACCGACAGAAACGGAACGCTGACAAGAATGGAATAGCAAATACCCTTTCATTTATTATAGGCTATTTAGTCCTACTATCTACGGTTGATCTACCTAGACACGTAGTGACTAATGTAGCAGCAGTAAAGTACTGCCCAAATACATCGGCTCCTTTCGTGTGCTGCGCCGACAACGCAACGCATACACGATCGAGCTGCCATGTAGGATGCGCACGCATCCTACGTTCTACGTGGGGCGTCTCCGCCCGTACTGTCAGTACGAGCCTTCTTCCGACGATGAAGATATCCCCCACGTTCAAGAACCTCCATCAGATTCTTGCGCTCGCGCTCCAGACGATCAGTCTGGTCGAGTAAATAAAAAACCTCTCCACTCAATTGAGAGATCTCCCTGCGAGCTGTCGCCAACTCGTCAACAAGCGATCGGACATCCCGCTCGACCTGAAGCTGCGCCGTGGCGTAATAGGCGCGGTCCTTCGCACGATCAGCCTCACGATTCTTGCGGTGCTTCCGCACGGTATCGGTCAGAGCGTAGCGTCTTTCCCGCTCGTGCTCCAAGTCCTCGCGCAATCCAGCGATTGCGCGATCCATCTCGTGCGGGTCGAGATAATGAGTCGAATGACTTGGAGGAGCTTTTTCCTCCTCCTCCACATCCTTTGGTGGACTCACACGGTGGTCAACGCTTCCTATTGGAGCTTATCTTGAACCACCGTGACGATTAATAATCAAGGACGGCTTACCTCGTCCAGTGGCGAGGATATCCACCCTGTTGGGACAGCTGGGAGCCCCGCTCTCAGCTAATGATGGATGTCTCCGGTCTCGTCGAGCAGTACGACGAGACACACCCGCCGACGATGGAGGGCCATCGTCGAACGAACGCCCAGCGCGTTTGTAAAGGGATTGCAAATTCTCAATCTTTTGTGCATCTCGGACGAGATGCGCACCTTACAATACGGCTGATTAGGGAGGAAGGCCTCCCTAGGTGCGCGAACTGAGTTGTTAACACAACTCAGATGCTTCTCTCCCCACGAGAGGCAAGGCAAACCTGCCTCTCGAGACAGCCGGTGCATTTTGTATCGAGCACCGGTAATCGATTTCTGCTCAAACTTATCGCGAGCTGCATTAAGTCTATTAAGACATGCATCACGACCAACGTTCTCGATGTTGGCGACAGACGAATTCCACGCTTGCGCCAACGAGCGTCGTGTCGGTTGTGATTGCCGTGATACCATCGACGTCTGAAGAAGACATCGATGTAAAAAATCATGCTCAGTGCGATAATTTCTCGCACTGACATGAAGACCATGGATTCTTGATGAATTGAAGAGTGGGATGCGGTAACTCCCAGTGGTATAACCATACCACTCCCTGTGTTTACTCAAGAGAGGCATCCACGGCCTGTTCTCAGGAGCAGATCGTAACAAATTACGATCCTGCTCATCTTGCGTAGTGTCTCCATGGACACTACAATCGCTACGACCACGATGACTCCGCGAGGAGTCATCGACGTCATCAGAACTATTTGCGTCGCCCTGCTTTTCACTCGCATCAAACGAATGCGAGTGCGATCAGCTCGATCCTAGTGACGAGTTCATGGACTCGTCGGATGATCCGAACAACACACGATGCAGTTCAGGATCGATACTGCCACGTTTTGATGCAGTCGTCGATTTTGCACCCTCAGCCTCACGGCTGGACTTTGCGGGCGACTTCGAGTCGGACGGAGAGTCCGACTCGCCCGAATAGAGGACTTCTATTTCGGGATCATTGTCCATGGTCCTGCCATCCGTAGCCGAGGCTGCGGATGAAGAAGCGGCACGTGGATGACCACGTGCACCTGTAACTTCGGGAGTTGCAGGTTGCTAATTAGCATCAGCAGGCGACCGAGCACCTGCTGCTGAGCCTTGAGATGCTTGTTCATCGGCTGCACGCATCCTTGCAGCCGCGTCTGTGGCGGTCTTGTTCGCGCAGAGCATGGACGAACTCGTCATGCGCTGAAAGCTGGAATGAGTTGGCCGAGACCAACAAGTGCTCCCTGTCCCAGAGCGACCAACAAGTGGCCACTCTGTTACCAATCAATCATGTCACTCATTATAGTGACTGATGGTTAAGGGGGTGATGCAACGGGGTAGCCCGTTACATGAAATTGTCACAAAGGATAAAATGACAATAAATAATGTTATGTTGAATATTATTTTAACAATATCACAGAGCATGATGATATTGTTAAGATGACCGAAGGGTCGACTCATTTGTTGATATCGTCACGATGTCAACCCACCAATCGCTGCTGGACGCGCGCAATGGGTGGTGAGCAGGAGACCCACATAGGAGGATGTAGTTTAATATAGTTAGATGAAGTCAAGAGATGATTTAGAAACAAAATAACTACATTAAATAAACAGTTCTACTTCTTCCTCAAGACAGAGCTTTCGGGTTCTGTTTTGTCTTCACCGCTTCCTCGGTGCCACGTGTACGTTCGTCGGGCGTACGCACCCTTGTACTGTTATCAGTACAAGGTTCCTTGCTCAGTTATCTGAGCAACGGCGTGCCCTGTTACAAAAGGTGTAACTTGCGTCCAAAAGCGCAAATTTGGAAGTAGCCCCGACGCTTGCAAAGACACAGCCGAAGCTATATGCAGTGACCCCAGTGAAAGCAGGTGCCTCGAACCTCACGTTCACTGTACACGCAGAGGAAGATAGGTGTTGTGAACGAATAGCTCAGCAGAGGAAGCAGAGCTATATTTAATCGATGGTTAGAGTCCCTAAACCATACATCGGGCATCTTACTTCAACCAAACGAATGTACACACACGCACGCAGCTACTCCTTACCACCCATTGCGCGCGTCGGACAGCGACCGTAGCTTAGTTGGTTATTATGATGGTCTATGCCAAGTAATGAGTCGAGCAGTGCCGAACGTTACCTTCGACGATAAAGTTCCTACAGTGTTTACCTTGATGAGTATATATAGTAGCGCTTTATCCGTTAGAATTATGTTCTCATCGAACCGTTTGTGTTGGTGTCAATCAATGACACGTCACGGGCCCACCCCGTTACAGTGTTCACCGCCGACGCGTAGTAAGATGGTACAAAGCTACTACTACCCGAAGGTGCGCGAAAAGGGCACGATATAAGGCGCGCGTTTGCATCTGCCAGCTACGAAAGACGTCGCGCTGCTGCTGTAGAAACACAATGTGTCCGATGCAACAGCATCACGGCTATCATTTTGACGGTCGGACTTTACGCTAACCTTGCAGACCGTCCTGCACGCTGTTGTGGGATGCGTGTCGACTGCTCGTCGTGGCTTTCGTGTCGTTATATGACACGAAAAGCACGAGCACGTGGATCGTCGTCGGTCAGGACCGTACATCCGAGGGAAACGGATACGCTGTTGCGGATGGCGCTTTGTGCCCTTTGGGTTCGATCGATCCCAAAAGGAGCTCATTCGGGTTGTGCAAGCTCTTTGACGCGCTGCTGTACACACAACAATATCGTCCGCAATTTCGTTTGTGTACCAACCGCGTGACATGAGGCGACTGCTTTGGATATGTACGTGCAAAGGAGGCGCTTCATGTAATGACGCGGTTGATACACTGACGACATTGCCGACGATATCGTTGTCTATGCCATAACGAAGTAGGTGCGACAACCTGAGAGCTCTACGACGTGACCGATAAACTGCGTATTGCCATATGTGCACTAGACAGTTATCGGCGCCGGTGTCAATGGCCACTACGACTTCCGACGCCGTCGATGTCGTGCAAGAGCTTAGAGTTTAGGTCGTCCGCCTTCTTCGATTGCAGTGCCAATGTCAGATGCTTCTGCTATTGCGCAGGCATCGAGGCACCGGCTGTCGAGCACAACAGTCGGGTTGTTCCATTCAACACACAGTCTTTCCACCATGTGCTACGAGACTCAATGTCGACTGCAATGCGTCCGTCGTGCACATGTGACCTCCTCCGTCGTCAGTGGTCTGTTAAACACCCACAGGGCTCAGACTCGATGACGCGGCAGTCGCTTGCCGCGCCTCTGAGCTCCTCACCCACTCCGCTACTCCAGTCTGGCGAGACGGCTACGTGCGTGACGACGTACAGCGTTCTGCTGTACACGCCGATCGTATCGCGCGGCTGTTGTGTCTGCTCGCAGGCCCTGCAATAGGTATCCAGAAACCTGACACTCGCTTCTCCATCAAGAAGCGCGTGGCACGACCCCGTTGCTGCACTGCATCATCGTCGCACTGCAGCTAGAGGTCGAGACCGCCTCAGCTCTCCATTGCGGTGGCCACAACGATAGCCGGTGTACTGCCGTTCAAGAAGACCGTCATCCGGACGTAGCTGCAGTCAACAGTTTTACGCCAAGAGACTAACGATAGGACGGCACTGGTCGTAATGGATGGCGGTCGGACGTACAAGATGCCGCCCAGCGCCTTCCTCGCCGTGAACGCCACAGGTCCGTGGATCCGCCGGTGCTGCGTGGTCGAGTACGACGGCACCGACTTCTGCGGCTCTCAGGCACAGGATCAGCCGAGCTCGATACGGACCGTCCAAGAAGTCGTCGAGGACGCCCTACGTCGGACCACGGGCGAGACGGCGCTCACGCGACTGCGCTTTGCCTCGCGCACCGACGCGGGTGTGCACGCGCGGGGACAGGTCCTCGTGCTCGTCAGTCGGTGCACCGCGTCGGATCGCGTCTTCCGCGACGCACTGAACAACCGCCTGCCCCAAGACGTCGTGTGTCGCAGCGTGACCACGTTGACCGAGGCCCAAGTCGGGTTCGACCCGTGCTGCGATGCGACGCGCAAGCGCTACGAATACGAAGTAATTGCGGGCGGACTGCGGCCGATAATGGCCCGTCGTCGTGTGTGGCACGTGCGCAAGTCGCTGAATGTGGCTGCAATGCGGGCGGCGGTGGCTTACTTGATGGCGCCGCCCTCGACGAAAGACTTTTCGTCGTTTACGACGCAGAAGGCGGTGGATGGAGAGCCCGGCAACGTCTGCACACTCTCGACCATTGAGCTCCATGTTGAAGCCGAAGACGGAGGCCGAGGCGATGCACAGGCCCAAGCGGATGTGGCCACGAGGATTCGACTGGTCTTTGAGGGCAACCGGTTCAGGTACAAGATGGTGCGTAATCTAGTGGGCACGCTTGTCGACGTGGGGTCCGGCAGACTCAACCCGGACGACATTCCAGCGATAGTGGCAGCGAAGCGTCGGGTGGCAGCAGGCCAGGGCGCGCCGCCGCAAGGCCTTACACTCGTGTGGGTCAAGTACGACTAGTTCGCCGCTTTCAGGACATCGGCAGCGTTTTTGTTAGGAAACAATGGCGCTGCAAGTTGATGCCCGCTGATCTGCCCGCACTTGCCCAGAATTCGTAGCACGTGTTGCTTGTCCTCTCCTCGTTCAAGGCTGTTGTTGTCGGGCACAAGTCCTCGGCTGTGGCATCGTCGACGGAAGAAGTCCAATGTCTTATCAGCTGCTTGTGCCCCTCCTCCTCCTTCGTACACAAAGGAACCAACTCGATCAAGTTGCGTGAAACATCGACTTTCTGAGCCTTCTCCCTCATTCTGCTCGAATCCCTTCCTTCTCGCCACCTTCCGTCACTGTGGGGGCAGACTGCGGCATCAAACTGCCGCGTGCTCAAACAAGTGTGATCGTATCCTTGACAGGCATGCGCTCAAGCATAGTATTATATCGCGGTAGAATCAGCAAGCAACGAGAAGCGTTCCATCCCACCAAAACCGTTAGCAACCACAAACTCCCGCAACGTGACTACTGTCCGACAGCATTCCGCCTACCAAACCGTTGCAACTCGACTTGATGCGAACATGCTGCAGTTTGCCGTCCAGATAATTTCGAGGAAACGAAGGAAGAAAAGGCTCATGAGATGGCTCTGGCCGACGACCAAAGTGACGAGTACAGCTTCCTGGAGCTCAACGCTTGCTCCCGGACTGCGCAAGAATCTCTGTAGCACCCACCGCCATCTCTGCTGCTCGAGGATCCGTTGCTTGTGTCACACGGATCGCTCTGCTGCATGTGCCTACCAAGAAACGTCAGATCTTTCTAATAATTACGATGCCGAGCGTCGACCGCTACGCCATTAGAGGCACTAATTTTATCCTCGATGGATTTGTCCAAGCTTGCAATTCCACAGCAAGATCCAACCACGAGGTCCCGTATCGTTTCGAGCACTCTGCGTACTGCTTCACGGTCAAGCGAAATCGTATCAACTCCATTTATCTCGATGGCAGTTAGGCCTGCCCATATTTCCTCACATGCGAGCAAACCTGCCGTGATGTTGTCATCCACACGCCCCCCTGCTCAACTACTTGTGGCTCCACTCCCGTCTCAAGATAAACATGAGTGATTCTGGATCTACTACAGCTTACAGCCCAAGTGATACTGCATCTACTACAGCTACAGCTTGAACAGTACACTCTTGGGTCCAATTTTATGGATTCGCGGGTCTGACCTGGCACCACGTCAGTGGTCTCGACCGTCAGTCACTCAGCCTTCGCGTTCATGCAAACCGCTTCGTCAATCTCAAGTGTGTGTTCCGAGATACTGACGGCTTTTTCTGCAGATCCGGATGATCGTTCACTAGCCGACTGTCGTGTGTGCTCGTTCTGGCGGTAGTTGCACTGGATGAACAGTCCCATTTACAGAATGCGAAGCGCACAGTAAGACGCCAAGGTCCTCGTCTCGGTGCTTTCATGTGCGTCCTGGGAAGTCATGTGATCGACAGCTCTGTCTATCATGATGTTCGACGACAAATGTGACGTCTAGTGTTTTGCAGGAATGAAATACCAGATGAGCAAGTCAGAAAATGTTTCCTATCGTGTCAGTCTGGCGGCCATTAGCGATCACGACGTGATCCTGGTGGACGTTGCTGACGCTCGTATGATATCTGTATCTATCCCTGTCCGCGAGCGGGCATTGCCAGCACAACAAATGATGGCCAGGAGGACCGCTCTTCGCGCGGTGGCGCCCTCATTCACCATAAATAGCAGCATGGATATTTAACTCTCTTTGGCACAGGTATTGTTGGTCGATAACGTTCCTCAATATACCTCACCTTCAACAACAACATGTTTGTATCTGTCAGTGTCTGCTTCTCGTGCATGTACGCGATACACAATACATGCTGACGTTGGTCATGTCCACGATAATGCACGATCCGATTCAACTGAGCTTAGATAACATAGAGCAATCTCTCGAACCATCCGATTCCGCCGGCCTGGAGCGAATTGGTGTCTGACTGCGCAGTCGAGTCGGACGCCGTGGGTCTCGTCGACCGTGAAGACACCCACGATGACCTACTCGGCTTTCGAGTATTTACGTTGTCTTCACCAAGCGACGATCGTACACAACGTGCTGCCCTCAAATCGTCCACAATATTGCAGCACCAACAACGTGGCCAAAGTCTGGTTGATATGAGCACTGTGGTGTTCTTTGCCGATGTGGTCCAGCAGTCGGTAGTCGAATGATAGTATGTCGCCCTGGACAAGTCAAGCTGTTGTCGTGGGCAGGGAATCCGGCCATCGCGTTGTACTCGGGTAAGCCATATCTCGCACTCATTGTCAATCAAACGCACGGCGGCAATCGAGCGAGTCCAAACACCGAGAGTAAAGGCCTCCTAAGAGCAGCGCTGCTGAGTAGCGCAGCGGTTTACCAACAATTGACGTTTGTTCCGAGTTTGGCGATGCTCTTTTGCCGTCAGGGTGGCCGACAGAGTCCGCTGCTCATGGACTGATCCCAGTTCGCAGTAAGCACACGAGTTACCTGTGGTCATGCGTCGAACAAGCGTTGCTTAACCATTGCAGCCACAGTCGGACACCGCACACCAAATGCCAAACAAACGTCGAGCAACGACAACAAAACATTCGCATTCGTGTGATTCATACTAAGCGTGCCAACGACTGCTGATGACAACGCCGGGGAAACACATATCTGCATCGAAACTAGTGATAGCTCAGTCGACACGGCATCGACGTGGTGCTGTAGACTGACTGCCGCTCGAGCACGCGACGGTACTTGAGCGTCCTTTGGGCGAGCAACGCATTTGCGCTGCAAACGTCCGGTGACGGCGTAGCAGCAGTAGCAGTTCGAATGAGCTCGTGGATCTTCTCCTGCGTGCGTCGCCGAAACGACGCGCTCTGGAACGAGACCCCACTTGGCCGCAATTGGTACCGCTCGCTGCGGTTGTTGTCAAGCGCTTGTTGCTGCTCGAGGAGCACTGCGTCGCAAATGGGAAGCGGTGTTGAGTGAGACTTTACGAGGGTCGACTCGGTGGTGGATAAGGCGTCGAGAAACGACGGGAAGCTGTCCATCGCGACTGTCATTTGACACATGGCGAGTGCAATGGAAACGGGTGAAGCGAAGAGGAGGCGACGGCGGTGCCGGACACAGCGGTCACGAGGCAAAACTGAGAGTGAGGTGGTGCCGCGGCGGCGGTGGTAATGTCCGGAGGTTATTGACAATCGCATGTGTTGGACTGGCAAAGGCGAGTGCGGTGAGTGAGCAAAACGTGCGACGACACTCAACGGCTCCGAGCGCTGGAGCAGCGGCACGTAACCGATTTACGAGACCGAGTTCGGCAGTTCGAGACGAGTTGCGACAACACTCAGTTGCTGTGGATTCGAATGGAGAAGACCCCAACTACTGCTGGGAAGGAGATCGAACGTAAATGGGACTGACACAGTCCGTGTACACACACACGCGCGCGCGAGTTGGGGTAACTGACAGTAGGGCACGTGGTGCAGGTGCGTAACGGCTCAAGAGGCGGTCAGGACACGTACGTTGCGATGCGGCTGCTCACTGACTGGACGGAGAGTCACAATGTGAATGTACAACGGATGAGTCGCAAAGGGACTCGGAGCTCACTGCTGCTGACCCGAACTGCATTATCGATCACATTGCGCCAAGCGAGTGTCATGGGTTATGTGTGTGTGTGTCACGGGTTATGTGTGTGTATGTCACGGGGTATGTGTGTGAATGTCATGGGTTACGTGTGTGTTGTGTGTGGATTCTTCAGCGGACATGCGATCAAGTGATCGATCAGAGTCAGCATAGCGGCTGCCTCGACGCGCTTTGCAGCGTAAAAACAGGCTATCTACGCGAACAGGTTGCGTGACGGAATAGCGAACCGTTGACGACATTACCGCACGACTGTCGTAACCGGCAGCGGAGCAGAGACAGCTGCGATTCGAACACTGCTGCGTCTTATGACAAACGACTGCGGTTCGAACACCGCTGCGGTTCGAACACGTCTGCATTTCTAACACCACATCGTTTCTATCGTTTCCTTGGCGTTCGAGCCTTCCAGTCGCAAGTTGCGACCCGTCCGTCTGTCAACCGAACAGAATAAAACCACGCCAGCGCTCTAACGGACACCGTGCTACTGCATTTGTCAAAACACGGTGCGCTGCCATCCCACATCTCACCCTCGCGTCCGTCGCTTCTGCTCCTCTTTTGTCCACGTGAGCAGCAGCCCTACTTCAACGCACCGATTCGTTGAAATAGCGCACCTTGTCTTATTTTCATCCACTCGTCGCTCGCAGCGCGCTCCGCCTGTCAAACAGACTCGCCCTACCCAGCGCCATCTCCCCCCTCTCCGTCATACTCCTCCATCTCCTCCTCGTCATCCTTCTCCTCGTCATGCTCAAGCGCCCCGCCGCGCCCTCCGCGTCGGCGCTGCCGTCGTCGCCGTCGCGCGCCACTGCCGCCGCCGATGCCGATGCCGCCACGTTGAAGAAGAAGCGGCGGTCGCAGCCCATGGGCAACTTGACGAACCTGCAGAAGCGCCAGCTCTGCATCAAGTTCGCGCAGGTCAAGATGACGCAGCAGGAGCTCTGCCAGTGGGCCAAGCGCGAGTTCCAACTGGCGCACCTGCCGCACCAGTCGACCATCTCGAAGATCCTCGCGCGGACCGAAGAGCTCACGCAGATGGCGCCGCGGGACCTCTCGGCGCGGCGCAAAGGGCTCGTGACGCACCCGGAGCTCGACACGGCGCTGTGCAATTGGGTGCTCTGCGCGCGGCACAACGGCCTCAAGATCTCGGGCGACATCATCAAGAGCCAAGCGCGGGCACTGGCGGCGCAACTGGGCATTGCCTCGACCATGAGCTTCTCCAACGGCTGGCTCGGCGGGTTCAAGAAGCGGTACAACATCCGCTTGGGCAGCGCCGCGACGGCCACGGACAGCAGCAGCGGCAGTCCGCACGGCGCGCTCGCGAGTCAGCTCCACTCGCTCGAGCAGCTGCAGCACGTCGCGCGGCTGTACGATCCACGTGACGTCTACTGCATGCACGAGACGGGTCTGCTGTACGACCTGTCGCCCGAGAAACCGGCGGGTCGCGCGCGGACGGCGAGGAAGGAGCACAGCGGCGCGCGGCTGACGATCGTCTTTGCCGTGAACGCCGACGCGAGCGACCGGATGGAGCCCATGTTCATCGGCCCGTGCAAACTGCCGATGCAAAGCGCGGACGAGCTCGACACAGAGTGGCGTCACTTTTATTACCAGAACAACCGACGCGCGTGGATGACGCCCGTGATGTTCCAGGACTACATCTCGGCCATTGACACGCGAATGCGGGACGAAGGCCGCTACGTCCTCTTGCTCGCGTCACCAGCGCCGTCTCACGTCTCGCTGGGACTCGAGCTCACGAACGTGCGGTTGGAGATCTTGCCGTCCCCGATGATGACGGAACCGCTGGCGATGGTGATGCAAGTGGGTCTGCCAGGGAGTGCGGACGACAGTGCTGGTCTGCCCGAGGCCTCGGAATACATTGCAGCAGCTGAAGTGGCGGAGCCGTCGATGCCCGAGTCGTCTCCAGCCGAGTCGTCGATTGCGGTACAGGATCAAGCTGTGGTGAAGATACAGCCAGAGACAGAGATGCCGATTTCGTCGGTATCGGACCTCCACAGCTCTGCGGCGATTGCAAAGATGGTGTCAACGCTGGCAAACACGACGACCGTACAACCGCTCGATGCGGGAATCATTGCGGCTTTCAAGCGGCGGTATCGGCGGTATCATATGCTGTACGCGCTCGATCGTTTCGAGGCAGGACGGAACGACGTTTTCCACGTCGAGCAGCTGCAAGCGATGCGGTGGGCGCGTCACTGTTGGAAGCAAGAGCTGCCGGAGGAGATCATTCGCAAGTGCTGGGCGGCGACCGAGATTCTTGTCCCCAAGCCGATCCTCGAGACGATGGCAGCATTCGAGTCGATTGAAGAGGACGTTGACAAGGAGATATGCGAAACAGTGTCCGCACTGGAGATCCTGCGCCCGCTGCCGATTGACGAATTCGTAAGTCCTCGCGACGAAAGCTTTGGGATCCACTGCGCTGGCTTGGGAGAAACCGACTTTGTGTTTACTGTGCCCGACAGCTGCGACACCAAGCAGAATGTCCTGAAGGCGTCGCCCAATGCGGTGGATGCAGCCGAGCAGCAAGCAGTATCGCCGACTGACTTGACACCACGTCTGCAGGAGTTGCATGCCCGTATTGAGGCGTCCGCATCATCGGCTGCAGCAGCTGCTGCATCGACATTGAGTCTAGCGCCAAACACGCAACTAGTCGTGTCAGAAGAGGGCACACCTTCCGTCTTAACGTCGTCCGCAAGCGCAGTGGACGGCCTTGGCTTGCCGCCGCCTTCCTGCACCGCAACAACACATGGCGATGGGCCCGCGACCAACGAGCAGCTGATTGAATGCTTCAAGGTGCTGCTGCCGGAACTGGATCGACTGCGGTTCGATGATCACACGAAGAAGAGCATACGCAGTACATTCCGCAAGCTGAGGGAGACGGTCGAGCAACAAGCTCTAGACCGCAAGCGCGGCACCACGACGAAGAAGGCTCAGCCATCGTCGTTGCAGTCTTTCCAACCTCAGATGCAGCTTTCGCTCCAGGAGCAGCAAGCACAGGTACTACAGATGCAGCAGCAGCTCATGATGCAGCCGGATCCAGCAATAGCAGGGCTGGCAGCCCAGACATCGCAAATCGGCGAAGACACCGTCTTGTAGTGTCGTTGCAGGTGTTCAATCTAGACATGATTTTGTACATGAGCTGTGTCGTGTGTGTGTGTCGCGCAAATGGGTCAAGTGTCGAGTTGTGGCGCTGCATGTCGTGACATGAACTTCCTTCTTCGACGTTGTCTCTGACCGTTTCAGAGCGCCGTTACGTAATCAGCGCGTGAACTTGAACCTCGTGTAGCTGCGATCCTGCTGCGATAGATCGCATCCACGTCCATCCGATAGCGGCCGAGCTACACACACTCGAGTGTTGGTACAATCCAGCCCATGTTACACGCGACCTGTACGTCCCAATGCTGCAACTTCTTGTCGGTTGCAAATCTTCCACTGCGCAATGTCAATGGCGTTACGAGAGCACTACCGCTTCCCGATGATGGCTTCGTCCCCGACGTGGAGCTTCTTCACCAATGCGATGATCATGAAGTCTTGTTCGTGTGACAATTGGAGGTGGAGCGAGCAGGTCAGGCCGTCGAGACGCCAGGCATCACACTGTTCGTTTTGCCTCGCAGCTTCGTCAAGTGTTTTGCACCGACGTCACCTGCTGCCACTAGCAAAGCCATCGTCATGTTTCGCTATATGTCATGGCCCTTGCTCGTCACTGCTCTGATAGAGATCGCGACGTGTATATCGAGTATTGATGTTGAAGCACACGATCCTGGTATCATGACCGCGTCAAGTCTAGATGCGAAGACGGCTGCATCGATTATGACGGGAGCCCCAGCGGTTCGGACCGCTAGTTCTGCTCCAGAAGCGATGGAAACAGTGCCACCGTCTCCAGAGTCCATCGAAAGCGATACAAAGCCGCCGGTGGTGACGGAAGCTGACACGCGCATCACATCCGAAGCGACACTGCAAGCTGTCGATGCAGCAGCCTTAGCACTTGCCGGCAGGTCCAAGCCAATGAACACAGGTGCTGCCACTACCGCGCCAACGACAGAAGCTTCGTCGACCTCCCAACCGGACCCTGAATCGATTGCAGCCATTGCACCGGAATCGCCAACATCATCATCATCACACAGCAGCATGCGCGGCATTGGTGCTGACGACCTCACAGGCGCGTTGTTTCAGTCCTCGTCGTCGGACAGCACTTCCGAAGTCACCTCCAATAGTCCCACCAGCTCTTCCTTTACTACGCCAGCCGTGCTTTTCGTGATATGTGGAGTCGGTCTTACCATATCCATGAGTCTCATCTTCGTCTTGTGGAGAACCAGGACCCATGGAGACACCCCGGCTCCGGCAAACGCAGCTTCGACGACGTTTTCAGCTACTGCAACTCCACTGGTCGTCGTGCCTGATGTTCAGGTTTGGTCGTCCTGGAAAGCGAGTAAGCCGAGCATTGCATCACAAGACATACCGCTGTGTGCAAGCGACCGTGACAAGCTGGGCACCTCAATGCGTTCATCTGTCGAGCACGACTTGGCCAACAGATACTCGCAAGTTGCTAGTCTGCCTCTGCTTTGCCCGTTGATGCAAACGCCTCGAGCAAACCGGGACACAACGCCTCGATCTTCTGAACGGAGCAGTGGCATCCGTGAACACTCCGACTTCTCGATTCATCATGGCTCGGAATGTGAAGCTTCTGCTCCAATGATCGAGAGGGACTCGGCAAGCGGAGGAGCATTCTTCACTTGCGACAGGTGGTCGGCGTACAAACGATGCTCAGCATCGCCACGGCTGTCCAGCGAGCCTGGACGGAACACCTCCGATTGGTTCCAGCTCCTGCCATCCGAGCATCTCGACATATACCGCGTTTCCTCGACATCGTCGACAACGTTCGCTGCTGCAACAACAGAGCAGCCACAACTTCCTCGCACAAACGAGCTCACCATATCAACCAGCACCTCGAGCACTAATACTCCGACCTGGTACGTCGTGATTCCGTCCCCGACGAACGACGATAGATGCACGTCCTCATCTGTTGACAGCGACGAAATCCGAGACGAAAGAAAATCATTTGAGCTGTGAACACCGCCGATAAATGCCAAACCTCGGCTCCATTCGAATCGAAGACACGTGTTCCTGCAGCAATGAGCTAGTGCAAAGAAATCGAGACAATGGCTGCATAGCTTATACAATCAGTATGAACAATATAACGAGTGTATAAGCTTGCGGTGTTGCGCCTGTTGGTCAGATTTTTGCAACATGCTCACCGACGACACTCAATTTACCGTCTGACCAATCTTTGGCAACTCTTCACTTGCGGAACTGCTTTTCTTCTCGAGGGACTTCGCGCGCACTTCTAGCACAGCACCTGGAGGAAGGTCTGCAAGGCGGTAAGGGCCGTACTGCACACGAATCAACCGCTTCACCACCAGTCGCACATGAGCCAGCGCTTTTCGAACCTCACGATTCTGATAACAAGAAGAACCGCGATACATCGTCACTCGATAACTAGAACGACGAGCACTCATAGCTCAGGGTATTTCACAACGCACCTTCCCCTCCGTGACTGTCACCTGGAGCCACGAGTCTTTCTTGTCGGTAGACTGCACCGCCATTTTCATCGGCCGGTACTTGACGCCATCCACGATCGGCCCTCGCTGCAACTCCTGCAACTTAGACTCGGCCACATTGCCACGAACCAGCGCGCGATACACGCGCACGACGCCCGTTGCGGGATGTTCCAGCTCTCTTGCATGGTCACCGTCATTCGTCAGAAGCAGCAGCCCTTCTGTGTTGAAATCCAGCCGACCCTGGCAGGAGCACGAGATCACCACGTCAAGCACAACGCTTGTGTCGTCATCAACAACAAGAAATAACCAAACGCACCACTGGCATCATGTGCTGCATGAGTCCCATCACCCGCAGTCGATCAAAAATCGTAGCGCGACCCTGTGGATCACCGTTTGTCACAAGCTCCTACAGCAACATCGATAGCAGAAGCAGCATTTGCACAATGACGGCCCGTCAGTCACTCGACATCGTACTCTTCCACTCATCCATTGCCCACTATCACAGCAGCAACAACAGCAACAGCAGCAGCAGCAACAGCAACAAAGCAACAGCAATAGCAACAGCAATAGCAACAGCAATAGCAACAGCAATAGCAATCAACGCACGCCCTTCATCTTGTGCGCCATCCACATCGTCCTCTGCCGCGTCTTTGCCAGCACTTGACCGTCCACCGCGACGACGTCTCGCGTCGCATCCACAACGGTCGCCACGTCGCCCACCACAGATCCATTGACCGTCACGCTACAGCTTCTGATGCGCTTCTCAGCCTCTCGACGCGAGCACAGACCCGACATGGCGATGCGCTTAGCCAATCGAACCGACGACAACGGCGACGTCTTGTCTCCCTCTTGGGCCACGGCCGCAGTCGCAGTCGCAGCAGCAGTAATGTCTACAGCATCCGCTGGGCGGCTCGCAGATGTAGCTGACAAGCGCTTTGACTTGCGAATGGTCACGACGCTGCGGCGCTCGCACCGGAGACGCGTTAGTCGCAGTAGTCGCTGCATCGGCGCCACGGTCATCATTGACACGCAATATTGTGACTACCACGAGCAGTCAGTTGACTACCACAAGCAGGTACGCTGGACTACCACTCGTGTACATGACTACCACTAGTGTACATGACTACCACTCGCTTCCTTGCCTGTTACACTCGATTTGCGTGTTCCCTATCAAATTCAACAGGTAGCTCTATCTCCTCAGCTGACGTGGCACCGATCGATATCGATCCCATTGAGGTGTACGAGACACTAAGAATGCTGCAGCAACAAGTGGACGACGTGAAGCGCCTGTGGACCAACAAGCGGCAGCTGGCCCACCAGGGCCTGAACCTGGCCATGGTCGTGCTCACGGCGCTCATGATCTGGAAAGGACTCATGACGTTCACGCAGAGCGAGTCGCCGGTTGTCGTCGTGCTTAGCGGCAGTATGGAACCGGCGTTCCAGCGCGGCGACATTTTGTACCTCGACAACCGCGTACGTATGGATGTTCTGCTTTATTGTGCTGCGTTTTTGTTGCGTTTGCTTTTTTCGTTTGCTTTTTTTGGAGGACGAATATCGGACATGCGCCGAGTTGTGTCGACATTTTCCGATATGATTGTGGAAAATCAGAAAAAGAAGATGGGCTGCTGCTGATTTGAGTCTGTTTGTCGAGATGTAGAAGCCCGAGCTCGAGATTGGCGACATTGTCGTGTACAAGGTCAAGGGCCGCGAGATTCCCATTGTGCATCGAGTGCTGGAGCTGCACGAGCGGTTCGTAGCCAGCGCCAGCGTCCAATCGTGAGGCTGTTTTTGTTGGGCAAAAAGAGACTTACATGGAATGGATTGTCGTGCGGTTGCAGGGCCTCGGACGGGAACCATGTGTACCTCACCAAGGGAGACAACAACAACGTTGACGACCGGTACGATGCGCCAGTTGGTCCCGACGTTTGGCACGTCAACAGAAGCTGACGGTTTTGCAATGCTGTGTGGTACTGCTGTTGTTGTTGTTGTTGTTGTTGTTGATGGTGGCACAACGACCTGTCTGCTGCTTCTTTCTGCAGCGGATTGTACGCGTACGGCCAATCGTGGCTCGAACGTGACGACATTGTGGGCATTGCTCGAGCGTGCGTTGACCATCTGAGCTATGGGCGACTTGGTTGCTGCTGCGTAAGACCATCCTGACGTGTCCTGCTTGTTGCAGATCCGTTCCTTACGCCGGTATGCTGACGATCTTGCTGAACGACTACCCGGTACTCAAGTACTTGCTGGTGGGTGGAATGGCCTTCTTGGTGTTCACGCAGCGAGAGTGAGTGCGCCGAGAGCAGCTGCTCGGCGTCCGAGGGTCGACCCCGACGTCCACAACGACGTGGCAGTGGGAACGAGAACGCAGAACAGTTGCAGCGTCTAATAAATACTCATTTGCCGCTGCAAGAGCGCTTTATTTCGCAATAGTGCGGATGGCCGCACGGGCAGCGCCTGGTCGTGGCGCAGGGACGCACTTATATACTCATTGGTCCTCGTAGACTGGGCTCGAGCTCGTGACAGCTGACGTGCCGCTGGACAGCGACGCGGTCATCGGCAGCGCGCTGCTGCCAACAGATTCGCAACGTTTGCGGCTACAGTCCGTTCGTGCGTGCTCGGCAGTTGTGCTGCTGGACTGCAGCTGGCTGTCGCAAGTCTTGCGCTTTCTTGACTTTTGCTGCTCCAGGTCGTTGACGTCGGGCACGTCGATGTGGTCGGGTAAGAGCCCATTCTCGTGGCGCTCCCATGCCAAGCCCAAGCCCAGCTCGAGGTTCCGTACCCACCTCTGGGTGTCGAACAACGGGCTGCGCAACCGCTCGTCTTCAAGCCGTCGTCGGAGCTTCCACAGCCGGTCTGTGTCGACGGCCAGCGCCACGGCAAGCTCCTCGTACTCCTCCAGCGAAGTAGTAATGAGCTCGCCCATGTTGGCGGCGCGCAGCAAACTCGAGGCCACGCGCGTAGCCATGCGGTCCTTGGGCATCGTCACCATCGGGGTCCCTCCCCACAAAATATCACATCCAGTCGTGTGCGCATTGCACTCGGGCGTGTCCAGAAACAAGTCGGCCAGGTACCCGCGCTTCAAGTGCTCGTCCTTGGACGCCACGTCCGTGAAGACCAGACGCGACTCATCTTCGATTCCGCGAGCACGCGCCTCGGCGCGAATGTTTGCCTCTGCGATCGGTGGGAACCGCAGCAGCCACAGCACAGAGTCTGGCACGCGCTTGAGAATGTTCATCCAGGTCGTAAACGTCACAGGGTCGATCTTGTACACCTGGTTGAAGTTGCAAAACACAAACTTGTCCTCCGGCACACCGTAATCCGCTCGCGTCGGGCACTTGGACGTGTCCAGCACCTCGCGCGCCGACTGCTTGTGGTCGTTCACAAAGTACGAGTGCGGCATGTTGATCTGCTTCTCGGTGAAGTACTGTCGGTACTCTGGAGGTACGACCGTGGCATCGCCCACCATGTACTGAATGTAGTCGGCGCCCAGCGTGCCGCAGAACCCCATGTAGCTCACTTGCACAGGCGCCGGCTGGAGCGCAAAGATCTCGTTGCGCGCGCCCTTCGTGTAGCCGTTCAAGTTCACGAGAATATGAATGCTATCGGCGTAAATGGTGCGCGCAGCATCGCCGTTCGACAGCGCACAAATGTTGACAAAGTGCTCAACACTGCCAGCGATCTGCTTGCGCCAAATCGACCCGTCGTCGGGAGACGTAGCGTAGCAAAACACCTCGTACTTGCTCTTGTCGTGCATGCCAAACACGCTCTGCATGAGGTGTGCAAGCGGGTGGTTGCCCAGGTCCGACGACACGTAGCCAATGCGAAGGCGCTCCGACTCGCGCTTCCTCCTGAAGTACATGGGCGGCAAGTCAACGAGACTCACATTCAGCTTGGCGCGCTCGGCATAGCGCCGTGAAATGTCCTGGAATCGCTGCATCGACAGAGGGTACACCAGCGCGTGGAATGGCTGCACCGACGGCAGTATGCCTTCCACGCTCAGCTGCTCGTCCACAAAGCGTTGCAGTGTCTCCGTGTCCTGCGTGCGCGATTGCCAGTCGCAGATAAATACCATCGAGTGAAAGTAGTTTGCAAACGCATCAGGGAAGTGCGGGCGAAGCGCAAGGGCCTTGCGGTAGCACGTGATGGCGTCGACGAGACGGCCGCCATCCTTGTACGTGCTCGCTAGATTGCTATAAGCATCAGGGAACTGCGGCTTCAGCCGGATGGCCGTCGAGTAGCACTGGATAGCCTCCTCTAGCCGGCACAAATCCTTAAACACATTGCCCATGTTGCTGTACGCGTCGGCAAAGTTCGGGTCAATCGTGATGGCCTGCTGGTAGTGGGCCAGCGCCTGGTCCAGCTTGCCTTGTTCCTTCAGGACACTGCCAATATTGCTGTGTGCTGCGGCAAACTGGGGAAGCAAACGCGCCGCAGTCGTGTAGCAGTGCAGCGCTTCTTTCACGAGACCCTTGTCCTTGAGCGCATTGCCCAAATTGTTAAACGCGTGCGGATGGTCGGGTTTGAGCTGCAGGGCCGTGCGGTAGCACGTGACGGCCTGTTCCAGCTGGCCGCATTCGCGCAGCGCATTGCCTAGATTGTTGTACGCGTCTGGGAAGTTCGGCTCGAGCTGAATCGCGTGGCGAAACGTGTGGATCGCCAGCTCCATCTGGCCTGCCTCGTAGTAGCAACTGGCCAAATTGCCATGCGCAATCGCAAAGTTTGGTCGGACCTGCAACGCCGACTTGTACGCCTGAATGGCTTCGTCTCCTCGGCCTGCCTCCTTCAACGCGTTGCCCAGATTGCTGTACGCGTCGGCATAGTCCGGTGCAAGTCGGATGGCTTCTCGGTAGTGATCAATGGCAGCGTCCAGCTGACCCTCGTCCTTGAGCAGGCCGGCCAAGTTGCTCCACGCGATCGCAAACCGAGGCTTCAAACGAATCGCTCGCGCGTAGCAGCGCTTGGCGTCCTCGTGCTGGCCCAAGAGCTTGTACAAGTTGCCCAAATTGCTGTGGGCGTCCACGAGCTGCGGGTCCAGCGCGAGCGCCATCTTGTACGTCTCGACGGCGTCTTTGCTCTGTCCCAAGAGCATGTAGCAGTTGGCCAAGTTGTTGTACGCGTCGTCAAAGCGCGGGTTCAACTTGATCGCCCGCAGGTAAAACAGCACCGCACTCGTCAAGTCGCCCAGTTCCTTCAACGCGTTGCCCAAGTTGCCGTACGCTTCGGCAAAGTCGGGCGCCACCCGAATGCACTGCTGGTTGTAAAAGATGCTCTCCGACATGTTGCCGAGCTGGAAGTGCAGTGCCCCCAGCAGCAACAACGTGTCCACCCGACGCGTGTCCAACTCGTAGAGCTCTTCGCAGACATGCAGTGCTTCCTGGTAATACCCGGCCGCGTACTGCTGATGTGCGACGTGCAACAGGTCTGTAAAGCGCCGCCAGGTGCATACAAAAAGCCCAAACAAATCGAGCAGCACAAAGAAGCACATGAGTGCAACGTTTTAAACTCACCCAACCGCGTGTTTAAAACAATAACACCACCCAACAACAGCGCAACATCAGCGAATAAAACATGACGAAAACACGTACACGTGAGACGCTGTTGACCGGCGTCTTGCCGCATATCGGGCGACGTGAAGCCCGTGCCGGGGAACGCGCGATGCAGCGCCGTCTGCGTCTCGTACGGGTACGCCATGACCGACCTCCAACGATGACAAGTGCTCGTGCACTAGGAAGAAGAAGAAGAGGAGAAGAGGAGGAGGAGAAGGGGAGAGTCGGCGGCAGTCAGTGGCCTTTTAATGGCAACGAGAGCAAATGTGGGCAGTGAACGCGGGTCTCGTGGCAATAACCGCCTGAGGGCTCGAGGAGGAATGGGGCTATGGGAAGATGCGGCCGGGAAAGGAGCGGGTGAGTGAGTGGGTGAGTGAGTGAGTGGGTGGTCGGTCCGTTGCCCACTCGCTGCCGTGCGCGCGTTAGCGGGTGTGGGTGGGAAGGTGGGGGAATGGGGAAGGAAGTGACTCACTCACTGACGCCGTGTGCGGCCGTCCGGGAGTGAGTGAGTGAGTCCGTCCGTCCCTTAAAGGCGGCGGCGTGCCGTTTCTTTTTCGCCCACTCAGTCAGTCAGTCAGTCGGGAGGGGGCGGGCGGGCGGGCGGGTCCTACGTCGACGCACGGGCGCGTGCGCGCACTATCGTCGCTGTTGTTTGTCCCTCTCCCCCCTCTCTCGCACCGCAGTCTCGCTCGCTCTTTCTCTCTCTCTCTCTCTCGCTCGCTCGGTACCTATCGACCGATCGATCGACCGATCGATCGATCGATCTCGACGGCACCCTTCGTCCCACAGGCATACTTTACGCGAGTCAAACGGCGCAGACGTTGACCTTCTGGTCTTTTCGCTGCACGCGCGTTCTTAGACGAACAAAAACCAGATGGGAGGGAAGAGACCCTAACCGTTCCGTACAACGACGGGACTCGTCGGTTGGCAGCTGGAGACGTGCGACATGTCTAGAAAATCCGCATTTCCTTTTTTTGACGCAAGCGCCCGACATCAGCGACGATGGCGGGCGGGCGGGAGTGGCAGCAGCCGCCGCAGCCGCCCAAGAAGCAAAGATGGAGTGACGAGCGAGCGACGGCACTGGTGCCACTGGCCGACAGAACGCCGCCGAATCTTCTCGACTTGCGCCGGTCTTCTCGATATCCAACGACAGTCAGGTCACCCCCCCCACTGTCGTCAACGCTTCGAAGGGAGGCGACCGGTTTTGCTGCAAAGCAAGAAAGAGCAACCCACCCCTACCCCTAGACTTGCATGCCTCGCGCGCCAGTGCGCACAGCTTTTCTTTCCTCAGACTCAGTCGACACTCTGTCGCGTTGCAGTGTCCGATCCCCAGGCGGGCGGGCAGGCGGGCGCCCACGTGCCCTCGTCGTCGCCAGTGGGTCCTGTCAACGCGCCCTCTCTGTCTGTCTGTCTGTGTATCCTGCGACGGTTCGTCTCGAGGCGTATAGGCGACGCGTTGGGCAGCGACCATCGAGGGGGCAACTGTAGCCCTTGCAGTCGACGACAGTGCCGTGCGAACCGGACATCGCTCCCACAGGAACGAGTCACTACTTTACGCCTGCCCGTCTGGGATCGGGATACGCGCGGATTGTGCACCGTCGCCATGTACGCACGGCCTTTTCTACGAGAGGTGGAAGAAAAGCAGTTTTCGGCATTGTCCAGCGACGCTCTGATTCCGCCCAGCGAGTCGCGCGCGGTCTGATATGACAGTCGGTGCAGCAGTTGCTGCAGCCGCCTCATGCAGTGGCAGTGAGGGCGGCGCTCGCCCATCCCGCAGTCCGACCGACGACCGGCGCCCAATCGCGTCGACAAAAAGTGACACGAAGAAGCTGCAGCTGTCGTTTCCGTCTCTGTAGTAGTAGTACGGAGATATCTCTTGTTGCAGGTGGCAGCGCGAGTCATCTCTTTCTTGCGAATTGCGGGGCCGCAGCCCCCTGTGAAACGGCCTCGTTGCTGATTGCTGCGCCCGCCGCTTTTATAGGTCGATCGGAAAAGCCACAACTGATCGTGACCGGCGGTCGGTCGGTCGGTCGGTCGGTCGGTCGGTCGTTCCGGGCAATAATCGACAACGTATCCGTATACTTCGTTGCAGTGCCCGCGGATTCATTCCCCACTCGCTCTCGCATTTGCTGCACCTACAACGCGAGCGACGCGAGTGCGCTCCACGAACGGGAATCGCTGCAGAGAACGTGGCCGCCACCTGTCCGAATAGAGCGTGACGCCAGTACATCCATACGACAGACGGCACTGTTGCCGATCTCCTTTCGTGGCCCACGAGTGCTGCCAATAGCGCCGAACACGCACGTGTTCGCATGGCCGTTGTGCCGCCATCGTGGGCCGTCGTCTCTTCTTTCTGCGTGGCAGTCTGGCGTGGCTGCTGTCGAGAGAGATAGAGCCGCACCAGCAAATCGATAGACGAGGAGCGATTCGTAGTCCCGTCAACTCTCTATCAGCCCAGAGCTCGTGCGAGACCGCTGGGGCTTCTGAGAGCAATTGGATAGAGCCCCTGCGAGCTCTACAGAGTAGCCATTGTACGGGTATACCGCAGTCCCTACGATGGCATCGCAATAGGTTATCACCCTCAGGTCACTGGACCGGTAGGCTAACGTCAAACAATGTTCGCAATCCCAATGCAGCGATAGAGTCGAGTGGCCTTGTGCTAGAGCTGCATCGAGCTACTACCGGATCTTATTTTCATCCCAGACGAAGCCGTGCCACGATCTATCGGCTCAAGTGTATCCGTTTTCCACTTTGGAATCGCTTGGCGAACAACCTGTCATGTCCTGATCCGGGCTGCTCGCCACGTGACTATGCCCTGCAAGTCATGTGTTCTGGGTTTGCCCACTCGCCCAGCGACGGTGGCGGATACTGTTCGACGTGTAAAGCAGTATCGGTAGACTTCCTGGCACCGACCTACCGCACATTGTGTTTTCACTCAAACTTCCCACGACCTCTGACCATGCCTGGCACCGACCTACCGCACATTGTGTTTTCACTCAAACTTCCCACGACCTCTGACCATGCCTGGCACATTGCATAAGCTGTTTCACAGCCACACGAACGCAATGTGGAGGCTCGAGCGGTCGTCTTTGACGCTGTCAACGAATTATGGCGTTTTATTGTGTCAATTGCGATCCACGCTATCTGGCTGGAGCTTCTACGACGAATAGAGGACTCGGCAGTATCCGATGACAGCCACAACTTGATTGCCCACGCTATTTTGCGCCGAGCGATCACTTGTTTCCGTGGGTCGACCTACCAACCTGGTGGCGATACCCAGGAATTTGTTCTTGCTCGCGTTCGATCGGCGCTTGCTGACGAGATTTTGCACCACATTGGAGTGCCACAACTACGATCCCTGGCTTCATTCACAACACTCGCCATCCGACAAGTATCTGCTTTTTTTGGTGGTACGTGTCAAGGAAGCATTGGACCAGGAGGTTCTGGTTCTATACTCGTGCGAGTACAGGAACAGACACATGCCGCTCAAATCGTGTGGATGGCGACCATGTCGCTTGGGTCGTCGACGACGCCTGGTATGGCTGAGTACTACGGCCTAGTCCACGGTTTGCAGGAGGCGAAGGTCGGCGGCTATCGTTATCTGTCTGTTGTTGGGAATAGCACTATGCTTATCACTCACCTTCGGCTGCAACGCTGCCCGCGCCAGCCACACCTCGCCACACTTTTCCGCAACGCGCGGTGCCTTGCGAATGATGTTGACGTCGCCTACTGGTCTCACCAGTACCGTGACATCAACACTATGGCAGACCTTGCGGCAACAATTGCGATGGAAACCAAGCACTCGCTTCAAGTTCACGCACCCTCTGATCGCGCCATTGCCCGAACACTGCAAGCATACCTCCACCATGATGTCAACTTGTGGCTTGAGACATCCCACTACATCCAAGTCGGGAAACGTTCCTGTCGCTCGCGGACCGCTTGCGGCCGGGATTCGGCTGCGAATATGTAACAGCGAACAGGCATCCCGTTTGTGCGTGACCACTACCGGATGCTGAAGTTCGTTACGCCGGATAGTTCGCTCTGTCTGGATAGGGTATTGCGGGTCGCTATTCGTTCCTCAATATACCTCACTTTTACTACTACTACTACTACTACTATTATTTTAATCCCAGTGCGATACGCTAACGTCGTTCGTGAGTTTACCTCACGCTCTCCGATACACGTCCTATTGACCACTTAGACATGGAATGTTGTTGGGCTTTCAGTTGCACACTATGCTGCTGCTACCTCATGGGCCATACAGTCTGCAGTCCCGACAGCACCAAAGCACAAAGGGTACATGTGCCAAAGCATTTGCATTCCCATCGATCGAGAGAGACTCGTCAGCCTACAATTGTCCTGTCAGGGCCGTCGAGTAACCGCGTAGGATCATTATTCGAGCCGATCTCCTTCGTCGATCCTTTCATTACCTGACTCGTAGAGCGATTCCATTGTGCTGAATTCCCAGTCGCGGCTTTTTGTCGTCACGGGGTAACATTGACCCACAGCTTTCGTGCTTTCCAGCAAAAGGAATGTAAATATGCACTGCCTGCGGTAGGCGTTGTTTACGTGCGACATTGATGGCTCCTTACCTCGTGGTTCCTATCCAGATTCGGGCGTGAAGGCGTACGCTCCTCACGCAGCGATTCCTCGTCAGTTCACATTTCACGCGTACCTTTTGTCGCGGAAGACGCCGCGCATGATATCCTGCTGCTACCTGTCAGTACTATCTGAAATTGTCTCGAACTTCCTACACACGAGTGGCGGCTACTGCTTGTGCGCTTTCCAAAGCCTGAGCTTTTACACGACCGGTACCAAAGATTAGCAGGTACCTACTGCGATGTGCATGTACAATCTGTTGGGACCTGTCCACTTTCTTGGACCCAAGTACACGTCGTGCGATCGTTGCAATTATCGACACTACCTCACTTTGCCGGGCGCTCTCTGTAGGCGTTTTGTATGGTGCTGTACCCGTACTGACTCCGATTGTGCGGAGGTGGAAGTATGGCGTAGCGCTGGATCAGCACTAGGGTCGTCAAAAGATGCTGCACGTTCATCTTCAGACTACGTCGAACTAAAGCGCGGCTTTGATATCCACCGGCAGTCATTTGCAAAAGCGGTTACCAACGACAAGAAGTCCAGTCCATCGACGTTCCCTTTCCTACCACACCTCAATGCGCTACAGCTGCTTACAGATACATCTGGGAACGACCAAAGTAGAGAGAAGAGGAATTCAGAGTGTCGAACAAAGCGCACGAAAGTGGCAAACTCTACAGCGTACCAGTGCTACTGGCCGTTGCCTTCAGTTAGTCCAGTGATTCCCATAACGTCTCACTTGGTCTTGGCCGACGGCATGCAGATGACGAATCTTGTGGGGATCAGGCACATACACGTGCGTGGTCATGGATATGCTGTATGCCAATCACCCCTTTGCCAAGACAAGACCCGTCCTTCTGATCGAGCTTTCGATATGCTTTCCCGTGTTTTTTTCTGCGCGTGTCGTGTCCTTTGACGTACCTTTTCGATATCGTGCAAAGGCGAGTCCGTCCACTGGCCAAGCGATGATAGAGGCTACAGCGTCGTTGCGATGTGTAATCTCAGGGACCCTTGCCGGGTGTGTGTTAAGCAACGGGTATGCTTGGCATCGGACGTCGTGGAATGAAAGTGTGTACGTTGGAAGACAGACAACGGATCTTACGTTCATGAGCGTGTTCCTTGTGCTGGGAGATGAGATCGTGCCTGAGTCGTGCAGGCAGTACAGTGCGTCGTAGCACCGCATGAAGCTATCGACCCAGTCAGTCCACTCATTTGCAGACAAAGGGTAGACAGACATCGAGGGCGCGCAGACACTACGCCAAAGCTTTTTTGCGTGCAAATGGACAGAATCGATCGACTAGTCGGTAACTTTCATTGATCTTGACTCGAAAGGTATCGATCGATAGGCCCGAAGCAGTCTTCTCGATCTGCCTGGCTGAATTGAGCTACAGCCATCTTGTTTTGTTCATGTCGTCGTGTGGATCAAAAGGATAGTCGTTATCGCAATCAATCTACGACAGGATGTGTGGATTCTTCGATCCGCTCATTTGCGCGTGTGGTGTAACCTGCGGGTGATGTCACTGTCAGGACAGCCCGAACTCGGAGCAGACAAACGCCACGGACCTCACTTGCATGGATCTGACCGATCGACGCACGGTGCTACGACGGGAATGGACAAGGATGGAGAGGTGACGTGACTTTATGAGTGATGCCTTATCTGACACCGGCGACACTGGCTATCCATTGACGTCACGCTGTACGTCTTTCCACCACGTAGCGAGGTCCGTGGGCAATCCGTACGTTGCGCACAGGTCGCCTCGAGACCATGTGCTGGACAGCTGCGCCACGACCTCCACATCACACATCAGTTGAGGAACTGATGTGATGGACGTTGAATCTTCTCGGCATCCCGCGAGTTGACGGCAATGTCCCTCGCGACTGGGATCGGTATCAGGCAGCCGTGAGCTGTGACGAAGCCGACGTGGTCGGATCGACCGACACGTGGGATTCCATCAAAGAGCATAAGGATATGGAGTGCCATCGAGCTGCCTTCCAGTTGACCACAACTGTCCAGCTTTTCGGTGTCCATCGGATTGTCCATATCGGATCCTACGATACAATATCGGAACTTTACGGTGAACGTCGAACGATGACGATCTATTTACTAAACTAATCTTCGGGCTTCCCATGCGCTCTTCCGTTGCGTGCAGCCAGTGCTGCAAATTCGGTCAGCAGAAAAACGATGAGGAGCGATCGTTTACCACTACGGCGTCTTCTCTGCAGTACAAGTCGAGCGACTTGTAAATGCGTTCACCCTTTCGATTTGGCGAACATCAGAACACGGTCACGCACGAGAGTATGTCAATGCAATCTGACATGTGCACTCCTCCATCTATCTATGTGGGTATTGATACAACGACCCGGGCAAGCTAACGGGTGGCTTTGTGGCTGTCGTGTCGGTGCAAAAAGTAGTGCTGCGTTTGCAACCACTGTACCTCCATGTCGCATGCGTTGGCCCTGATGTCATCAATCTCTGTTTCCATGTGCAACAGAGACCCAGACACTCCATCCTCCGTCGCCTACGCTTTGTTTGTTCATCGAAGTCTTTCGCTCGATGATCCAACCGCCGCTGCTCGAATGACACTGAGGACGTTTCCACGTACTGTCTCTTCATACATAGCAAGCGCACGACCTATCACCATCGTCAGCGATCCCTCAGCTTTCCGTCTGTTTGCACAACGACTGACCATCCAAATTCTCACATGCCCACATAGCGCACGCTATTGCTTGACGTCGTGCGCTGAATCTATCTCTAATCAACAGATTTCGAACATATCAAAAAAGCCACCACTGCTGCTACAAGTACTACTACTACTACTAAACCCACTACTACTACTACTACTACTTTGACGCAGACGACGACGACGAAGACGACGACTGATCCTACAAGTACAAGTACTACATTCCGCCAACGCGACAATTCCCTTCAGTGCCGTCTCTCCTCTCGCTGCTGCTGCTGCGTCCGTCCTCCGCCGCTACTGCGCCCGCCCGTCGTCTGCCGCTCGCGCCGCCTCTTGTCCGCTCTCCCCATGGCTCTGCACGACGGCCCCGTCAACTGGCCGCTCTTCTTCGGGTCGATCCTCGTCGGCTTCGGCCCCATCGCCGCGCTCTTCTTCGTTGTCATTGCCAAACGCGCGCAGCTCGTGATCATCGCGCTCAGCGGCGCGTTCGTGTGGCTCGTGGCGATCCTCGTGACGGCCACGTTCTGGCAGATCATTCCGCCGCTCAAGACGTCGCTCACGGCCACAATTGTCGTGGCCGTCGTCGTCCAAGAAGCGTTTCGGCTGCTGTTCTTCTCCCTCTACACGCGCACGGAAGCGGCGGTCAAGCGCGTGACCACGTCGGCGCACCAGCTGCCGCTCAACGACGCGACGTCGGCGCTCGCAGGCGGCGTGGGCTTCTCGCTCATGCACGCGCTGCTCATGTTCGGCAGCCTCGTTGGCTCGTCCACGGGCTCGCGCGGCGCGGCGTTCTCGATCTCGTGCGAGAGCGTACCGCTCGTCTTTTCCGCTGCGCTGTCGGCGCTCGCGCTCACGGCGATGGACGTGACGCTCATGATTGTCGCCTTTGAGGGGTACCGGAACCGGTCGGTGCTGGCGACCGCTGCTGTCTTTGTCGTCCACATGGGCGTCGCCTTGTCGGTGCGTAGACGGCTCGCTGGTTGGCAGCTACGAGCGGGCGACGGATGGCGTCGAATTGACTGACTGACTGTGATCATGTTGCTGACTCTCTTCTTCTCGTGCTTCTCCTTCTTCTTGTTGCTGTGGTGGGGCAGGCGCTGGCCAACATGGACACGAACGGCTGCTACGTCTCGATCCCCGTGCACTATGCCGGTGCGGCGCTGGCCTGTGCGTGCGCGACAACGACTGTCTGGCGCTCGAAGAAGCTCGCTCTGGACGCTAAATAAAGTTCACCTTTGCGCTTGGTCTTGTGCTCGATGGTTCGGCATTGCAGCGCTTGTCACAGTAGAAGAGTCTGCTGGATGAACGCAGCAGAGACACAGAGTCAAGTGGGTAAGTGAGTGGCTGAGTGGGCGAACAAAAGTGTGCGCTCGTGTTACGTGCGTCCCGCTTTGCTTGGACGACCACTTGCGCTGCAACAGGTCTAGGAGAGTCGCTGGTCCACCGGCACGTGGCGGCGGCACGCCTCTTTGATCGCGTCCTCGTCCACGGCCCACACTTGCGTCGCCTTGTGCCAGCGATAGAACTGCGCGATCGCCTGCTCGTACAGCATCTCGTAGCCCTGGATGCACATCGCACCGCCCGCCGCATGTGCGTGCGCCAGCATCGGCGTGATAGGAGGCATGTAGGCTGCATCGAGCACCACGACTTTGCTGCCGTCAGTGCGCGGCGCCACGAGGTGGTCAGGGAGCTGGAAACCAGCTTGCGCAGGAATTGTGCCCACCACCACGTCCACCGTAGCTAGTCTCTCGGGCGTCAACTCCGACAGCGCTTCCGCGTCAAAGCGCGTAGCAACGGCCACGGCTTTGTCGAACGTTCGGTTGAAGATGAACAGTTTGCCGACGCCCAACTGGAGCATCGCGTACGATGCAGCCATGGCAGTGCCGCCTGCACCGATGACGAGCGCAGTCAGCTCGTGGACAGGTTTCTTCGTGCCGAGTGCCTCGAGCCGCTTACTGATGGGACGCAAGATGCCTAGCCAGTCCGTGTTGTCGCCCTTCCAGTACGGCGAGCCGTTTCGGTCCGCACGCACAATGGTGTTCACAGCTCCAATGGTCCGTGCAGCTGGTGATAGCTCGTTTAGGTGCTCCATGATGTCCAACTTGAGTGGAATGGTGACCGAACCGCCGCCAAAGCTCGTGCCGGGTGCTCGCATCCGCTTCACGATCTCCAGGACGTCCGTGGTGTCATGCAGGCCGTATGTAAAGAGCGACGCAAGCGACGCGGACTCGAACCCAGCATTGTGCATTGCAGGTGATGGCGACTTCTGGATCGGCGATCCAAACAGGTAGAACTCGCGAGCTGATCCACAACGAAGAAGTACAGGCAAACAAGAAGCAAAGGTGAATTGAGATACTGCGGCACATTTACCAAGCACACATCCAATTAGTGCCACTAGTCTACAAATGCCAAGTACCTGGAAGGAGCCCAAGCTGCTTGCGCAGGGTCATTATCTCTTGCACAGAAAGCTGCCCGGGCGCCGCGACCGCAGGCAGCAGCGGATGTGTCACCGGCGTGAGCGTGCGGTTCAACACACGTGTCAGCTTGCCTGCGTCGGTGGTGCACAGCGAAACGATCGGCATCTGCTGATGCCACGCGTGTGCAAACTCCTTGGCAATATGGTCCACCATGAGGGCATCGTCTGGAGAGTAGGCCTTGACCACTACCTTCACGATCTGCACCCTTCCCTGCGAGAAGCACTCGCGGAAAATGGCTCGCGTCTCAGCCTCAGACGTAGGCTTCTGCACGGCATGGAAGGATGAGATAATGGCGGATCGGTGGCGGCGGGCCATCAGGTGCTCGCGTGCTTTGCGCGACCAGCACGTTTCCATGTCCACGAACTCACAGCCCAACCGGACACCGAGCTGAAGCAGCTCGAACATCTTCTGCTCGTTCTCCTCGCCATCCGGGAACGCGCCACCCTGCCCTTTCGAGCGCACTGTGAAGATGATCGGAAGAGTCGAGAGCGAACGGAGGAGCGCCACTTGCGCAGCCACGAACTCCGCGTCTTCGGGATACTTCAACAAATCTACGCGCAGCTCCAGCGCATCGACGTCCTTCGAGATGTCGCTTATAATTGGACGAGCATCGTTTACGTCAGGGAACGTGAGCGACAAGAAGAATGTATCCGAGCGGCACGCGGATCGGTAGTCGAAACTTGCGGGCAGATTTGGCACGATGACGGAAAGAAAACGCACAAAGTCGCGGTTGATGCGCGGGTAATCCACGTCACCAGCGTTCACAACGAACTCGAACGACGAGCTGCGCGCATACAGAGGTTTTCGCCGTGCCCAAATGTTCGCGTGACTGTCTCCCAATGACGGACGGTGCGACTCCTCGGCGGACTCTAGATACGACAAAACATCCTTGATATCGCAGTGAACATGAACCACGTACAAGTACTTCTCGAGCGCGACCGCGACTTCTGGAGTCTCTACCACGCCACCGCCGCAAGAAATAATGGTGGCTGCGGGCGGGTTTGCAATCAGACGCAGCAGCAGATCTTTCTCCATTTTGCGAAAGGCTTCCCACGTGTGATCGTGGCGGGCAACAAAGTCGGCAATGGGCTCGCCAAGTTCTTCTTCCAGCACCTTGTCTGTATCTAGAACGTCTAGTTTCATGGCACTGGCCGCCGCCTTCACCAGGGAACTTTTACCAGCACCTCGCATGCCGATAACAAACACACTAGGGACTGTGGGATCAACGTCGCTATCGCCAGCCACCTCTTTGACGACGGGTGCGACTTGAAGACCAAGATGCATTTGCACGTGGTCCCAGAACTCCGGGTATGTCTTCTCCGTGCATTCTTTGTCGGTGATGATCACGTTGTCCACCACAGAGCCGAGAACCGCAAAGCTCATGGCGATGCGATGGTCATTGTGGCACTCGATCAATGCTTTTTTCAAGTGATCGGTCTTACCTGCCGTACCCTTGATCCAAATGCCGTCGGGCAGTTCACCGCACTCCACGCCGATCTTGCGCAACTCTGTCACCATCACTTCAATGCGGTTGCACTCCTTTACACGCTGGTTGGCGATACCGGTAATCTTCGTCGTGCCGTCCGCCACAGCAGCAAGGGCAACAGCAGTCATGAACGCGTCGGTCATCGTCTCCATGTCGATCTCCACAGCCTTGAGAGGTGAGCCGTCCTGTGGCCCAGTCACTGTCGTCGAGGTAGCGTCCTGCGTCGTCGTGCATCCCATCGATCGCAACAGAGTGTGGAAAGCGGCATCTCCTTGCAGACTAGTATCGCCTAAAGCTTCTACAGTCACCTGTCCACCTGTGATAGCAGCAAACGCCAGCGGGTACGTCGCTGACGACGCGTCCACTTCCACGGACACCGCGTCCGGATTCTCGTACACGCCGCATGGCACACGGTAGCGGTTGGGAGCAAGCGTTTCGACCGCGATGCCGAACTCTTTCATTAGCTGTACGGTCATGAGAATGTACGGCAGCGAAGTCGGTTCGTCCTCTTCAAGCTCCAGCAAGAGCGGCTCCTTTGCGTACGGTGCGCTGATAAGCACCGATGACACGTACTGACTGCTGACCTTGGCAGCTAGACGCACGGTGCCGCCACGTAAGCCAGTGCCGCGGATCGCGAGTGGTGGGCACCCTTCATTTTCCGTGTAAGCGATGTCGCAGCCATTTCCACGCAGTGCATCCACCAGTGGTGCAATCGGACGTTCCTTCATGCGATGGTTACCCGTGACGATCACTGTGCCGTTCTTCTCGTGCGGCACCAGCGTCATCGCGCTTGTAAGGAAGCGAGCAGCCGTGCCGGCGTTGCTCAAGTAGATCTCCTCGCCGTCGGCAACAGTGCTGAACTTCCCGGCCGTGCCTTTGACAACGAGCACAGCGCCGCTGTTCTCCCACGAAAACTTGGCGCCAACCTTCTGCAAGGCATTCATCATCACTTGGGTATCGTCCGAGTGCAAGAGCCCCGTGATGCGACACGACCCGCTGCCAAGCGCGGCCATGAGCAGCACGCGGTTCGAAATGGATTTGGATCCAGGAACACGGATCGTACCGCTGGCTTTCGCGCCAGGCACCATGCGGACTTGTTTCTCCAGCACCAACTCAATCTGACGGTCGTCCACCGCTCGCGCGTACGGGTCCGCCAGCACTTTGCCAATCTCCTCGAGCAGCACAATCTTCTTGACGCCTCCCGAGTTCTTCTTGTCGACTTCCATCTTCACCAAAATGTCGCGCGTGGCCACGTGGTCCGGGACCCGCACGGGCAGTCCGTACGTCGTGAGGCAGCGCCGCAGTCGGCCGACCGTTGCGGCCGAGCACACGCCCATGCCGCGCGCAATCTCTGCCTCCTTCATGCAGCCCATGGCCACGCACTCGCCGTGGAGGAACTCGGGCTGGAGCAGCGCTTCAATGCCGTGGCCAATGCTGTGGCCAAAGTTGAGGATCGCGCGCAGCCCCATCTCCTTCGTGTCCTGCGTCACGACCGCCGCTTTGACGCGGACGCACCTCGCGACCACGCGCTGCACGACGGCCATGTCCGCGAGCGCCACCACCGTCTCGGCCGACGCCTCGAGCAGCTCAAACAGCACCGGGTCAAAGATCGCCGCCGACTTGATCACTTCGGCCAGGCCGTTCACGAGCTCGCGCTGCGGCAGCGTCTGCAGCACGCGCAGGTCAATGTACACGCGCTGCGGCAGGTGGAACGCGCCCAGCAGGTTCTTGCCCGCCTCGACGTCGATGCCCGTCTTGCCGCCGATGCTCGAGTCCACGCACGCGAGCAGCGACGTCGGCACCTGCACGAACGCCACGCCGCGCATGTACGTGGCCGCCACGTAGCCGGCCACGTCGCCCACGACGCCGCCGCCCACGGCCACGACGCACGTGTCCCGATGGCAGCGCGCGGGGAACAGCACGCGGTCTTCGATGAAGGCCTTTGTCGCGCGGCTCTTGGACGCTTCGCCCGCGGGGATCGTGTGCAGCAGTACGCGGCGCGTGTCGCGCTGTTGCAGCTGCAGCAGCGCCGCGAGTTGCGCGCGCAGGGGCTCTGCGTACAGGGGCCCGACGTTGGCGTCCGTGAGGATCACAAACGTCGCGATGGACGGCAGGCGCTCGAGCAGATCCGTCGCGACGTACTGCGACTGGAGCAGCGACGAGCCCAGTACGATGTCGTAGGGGCCGCAGGGCACGACTTGCAGCAGCGGCAGCTGCAGTGACGCGGACATTGCGGGAAAGTGGTTGTGAGCGGGCGAGTGCGCGAGTGCGCGCGCGGAAGGCAACGAGGCAAAGGGAAACGTGTGAGGATAGTGCCCCCGGGGGGAGGGGGGGGCTACTTGTGGGCGCGCAGGGGTGGAATGTTGACCGAGTGTGGGTGGACAGAGCAGTCGGCGGTGCTCTTGATTATGTAGCGGCGACTGCTGCAGCGGTTGTTGGTTTGCCAGAGGTTTTTCGAACGGACACGTTCTTAACGAGTTGGTTCGTTTTGACATCCACTTTGACGTGTTCTTGAGGAGCTCAGGACTTTGTTCGTGACGCGTTCGACTAGTCGACGGACTGTGTGTGAGGCCGCGTGTGGGGCTGTGGAATGCACCGCAACTACATACACATACAGTAGTGAACTGCGTTGATGGCAGCTGCGTCGTATATCCGCTGCAGTAACGTCGCGTCAATATCGCGTGTCTAGTCGACGACTTGGCTGCAGACCGAGCAAGTCAAAGCGCAGGAGATGGGATACGAAGCGCAAGTCAGCGCTCGTCATGAAGTGCTCATTGATCGAGTAAACGTGTCGTCGTTTCTTGGCCGCGACTTGACGCAGTTCCGGCTCTGCATCGACCACAACGGCCCATGACTGCACTGCACCACACACACACACATGTAGACGGCTGCTGACCTTCCACTCGATCAATATCGATCGCCTCTTGACCGACCGACGGCCACAGTCGTGCGCTCGACGCCACCAAAGACTCGCACAGCCGCCTCAGATGGCGCGTACACGACCAGACAACGCGTCGCTCGAGCGCTCGTCGAGCTCCTCCGTCCGGTCTGCTTTACCGCAGCGCAGCCCTTCCTCAGCTCCCTCCTCTCCCTCTCGTCCCCTTCTTCTACTGCTCCTTCTTCGCAGCTCGTGCCACGCCCATCACAGCGTCGACCAAGTCGGGGAACGCCTGTTCGTCCGGCGACGGGTACACCTGCAAGTCGGTCCAGTGGCCGGTTGCCAGCACGCGCGGCAGCTCTTTGACCGACGTCTGGAGGCAAAAGCGCCGACCGGCCATGGCCTCGGCCAGCTCCGTCTGGTGGTTGTCCATGAGCGCGTCGTTCACGACCACCACGAGCTTCTTCTGGAGCGCGAGGCTGTCCATGACGGAGCCCGCGCCGGCGTGACTCACGACCAGGTCGGCCGCCGCCACGTCCTGCTTGTAGTGCGGGTCGTGGCGGTAGAAGCTCAGCTCGAGGCCGGGGAACGACGGCCGCGGGACATGCGCGCCGTGGCCGATCTGCATGCGCACGGACGTGAAGCCCCGCGCGACGAGCGCCGACAGACACGCGTCGGTGTCCAGCGCGGCCACGAGCGCGTCGAATTTCGTCGTCCCGACCGTCACAAACACGCGCATGGCTTACAAAGTGACGGACGGACCGGACGCGGGGCGGCTTTTGACTTGCTTTTTGTATGGACAGACTGCGTGGGGGACGACGGCGCACTCGCAGTCGTCGGCCGATCATGACGTCGTCGCCGCCTCCGGCCGCTGCGTCCGCGACGCACGAGGGCGCGCCGCTGGACCGCCGCGTGTTCGACTCGTGGGCCGACTTTGACGCGTACATGGAGACGTACGCGCGGCGCACGTTTCAGCTCTTCCGCAAGCGCACGTCGACGTCCGTGAAGCTGCGCAATCGGCGCGTGGCCGACCGGCGCGCGGCCGACGCGAAGAAACCGCAGCCGCTGGCGGCCGCGAGCGCGCCGCGGCTCATCCCCGAGCGGTACGCCAACTACTCGCTCACGCTCGTGTGCACGCACAGCGGCGCGTACGTCTCGCGCGGGACGGGCCGCCGCTCGCGTCAGGACGTGCGCGCGACGCACTGCCACGTGCAGGTGAACGCGTGTCTGAAACTGGCCGACCCCGTGGCGAACCGGTACCAAGTGACAGTGACGCGCGCGCTCTTGACGCACAACCACCGCGTGGACCAGGCGACGTTCCTGCAGTACAGCAACACGCGGCTGAAGCTCTCGCACGAGCTCCTGAGCGGCGTCGAGCTCATGCGGCAAACGGGTGTCAAGCCCAAGGACGTGCGCAAGTACATTATGGAGCACTCGAGCTGCGTGCCCACGCCCAAAGACGTGCAGAACATCCTGCACCGACTGCGCAGTCAGGAGGACGCGGCACGAGCTGCTACGGCTGCTACGGCTACTGCTGTTGTTGGTGCTGCTCCGACTGCAACTGCTGTGCACGCGGAGCTCAAGCAGATGCACGACGGACAAGAGGTCAAGAACGAGAACGGAAGCACTGAAGCGCTTGTGCCGTCGTCGGAGAAGGAGGTGCTGCAGGACTATCGAGTGGCTTCGGCAGCCGCACTCGCGGACAGCGACGTACCGCACGTCGTGGACGCACCGACGCAGTCTCAGGTGGCCCGCGCGATGGGGAACGCCGTTGCGACGCTGCTCGCGGACCTGCCAGCAGCCGAGTTTGCAGCCGCGATCCGCGTGATCGAAGTGGCGGCGCACATTGTACGTGATCGCGGTGAAGACCGACGAGCGGCCGCTGGAACCGAAGCGAGCGAAGATACAGCGACGACCGGCGTCAACGTGGGCGGCAGCTGCGACACGTCGTGGGTTCGAGGTCTGTAGGACGCGGCTCGAGGACGAGCAACAGACCGCCGGCACTTGTCGCGCGTGCTGTCGGCCAATCGACACGCTGCACCACCTGTTGCCACTCGACTGCTCTGGGCCGGACCGATCTCACATGGACGCCGCAGGGCGAAGAAGGCCGTACGAACGATCAAAACCGATAGCGACGTGGACTACTACCGATCCAACAAGAAGCGACAACGTGTATCTTTCTTGGGATCGCGTGTGTGGGGTCGAGTGTCCTCTCGCAGCGTGTGAAGGAGCTGGTGGTAGTCACGCAAAAGCACGACGCAGAACGAGCCGCAAGAAGTAGACGGGAAGCACGCACGTGTATGGTCGGTCTCCGGTGCTACCACTGCACCGAAACCTCGACGAGAAGCGAGACGGCTTGAGGGGTGGAACGGGCACTTGCAAGTCGCACGTGATTGTGCAAGTAGGTGCTATGTCGAATATAGTGCGTTTTTCGTACCGTAGAGGACAGGAGAAAACGAACCCGTTCAAGGGGGGGGAGATGAGGGATTGCCCGGAAGAGGATCGTGATGGCTGCATGCGTGGATACCCTTCGGCGACTAGGTAATTGATGCCTACTTGGCTTCTTCGACAGCTGTGTGCACCCCCCCATCGTCGGTCAATTTGTAGTTGCCATCTCTCGACCCTCGCAGTTGCACATCGTGTCCATACATTCCTTTTCTTGACTGCAACTGCCTCATTAGTCGACCCGAGACGACCATCTACCCTTGTTCCCGTGCCCAGCGTTCGTGGACTCGCGACACCGCGTTCGTCGAACGTGCTCGCCACGAAGCGTGAAAGGCCCCGTCTGTTTCATGGACACACGCGCTGAGGAGAGCTTGCAAGTCGATTACGAATATATAGCGGATACGCCGGGAATGGTATGGGCATTCAGGAACCAAGCTGCCGGTGCTCATCAGGTCCGTTGACGTTTCGATGACAATGACGCTATAATAACCAGCTTCGCCTTGTTTGATCAACACGACACACGTTACGCTACTTTACATCACTTGCGCTCGCGCACCCAGTACAGTTGATGACGAGCGAGAGAAGCACGCTATCAAGCGACCGCAGTAGCCAGCCATGCACGTTCTGCTCCTTCCTCAGTGTGTCTACAGCGCCCACCTCACGCTCAGAAAGATGCGTACTCGTCATTATCGGACGGTACGCGTCCGTATCCACATTCCGACCGCTTCGCTTTCATGCAAACGCACCACCACACCTCTGGACCCGAACGGCCGACGTCTGTATGTGTCAGCGCCAACACACGAGATCAATGCGCGCGTAGTGGCAGTCGTCACCTTTTCCGTCAGTGTCTTGTTAATGACTAAACTGCTTTGACCGAACTGCTTTCGGCTGACATGGCCGACGTCGAGCAACGCCGAAAAACTACGAAGTAAGACGAGACACTGCGCTTGGCGCCGACAGACAGACACAGCGCGGAACAAAACGTCCAGAGACGGTACACGCCCACAACCAGCCTACACTTATCGCACAAGATCTCGCGATAGCCGGCGATATACCACTGCGCGTGTGCCACGAGCCGACCACAAGAGGACGTTGCATGCGTGAGGAGGACCAACCCACCACATCACCAGCCATTAGCAGTGCAGCTGCTCGAATACTCGACGGTAGCAGCGCAGCTGCTACTTCCTGCCGCTGATCAGTATAATTGTGGCCAAAATAGCGCAGGTATCCGTTGCGTTGGATCGGTGCAGCGAACAAGAGGGTCGTCCACACCCTCTCAGCGGCAGCAGCAGTCCGCGCCAAAATGAGACGGCGCGTTGACCGATGCAGTGCAAAGATAGCTCAACTTTTCTACGCAATGTCGATCGAAACACGACACGATGGCGCGTGTCGGTGTCACTCAGAAGAATGGCTAAAAGTTGCATACGTACGGATCAACTGCCGAGTATGCTGTCGGAAGCGGAAGACAACACAAACAGCTTGCGCGTGCTGTTCACGGTGCACTCGCTTGCCAGTGCACAGCGTCTGTCAATCACGAATCGTATCGACCGATGCCGATCAATACGTCGCCGAAGAGGAGCGGAGCACGTAGCGACAAGTCAGCAAAAAGGCCGCACAGTTTTGGCCCCCTCCTCCGCCAGTACTCTGTCAGAGTCTGCCGTGAGCGCTGATCGACAAGTGCGACTGACGCAAATGCCGACGCTGCACGGACACGTTGGTCCAACTTGCGAGCCAGCGGCGCTTTTCGTGACTTCAAGCGAAAGCTGATCTGGAACCTGGCGCACCTTCTGCTGTTATCAGAGAAATAGTTCGATTGGTCTGCCGTTCTGGTTTCAGTTTGTACTTCGCAGATGTTGTAACTGCTTTGGCGATAGAAAAGAGGCTTTCGAGTAGAAGAAGGACCCGCTCCTGCGCATAGGGACAAAAGAAGAGACCCATATGATTGCCGACAGCGTGTCTCGCGCCTTACTCGTCGCGCAAAACGTAGCGGCAATTTCTTCGAACACTGGGCTCTTCCTTCGCTACTGCTGCTGCTGCACATCTCTGAGCTGCGAAGGTAAAGCGGCACAACTGGCTTTAGAGCTCAGTGCGTTCTGCTGACTCGTGCAGGCCGCCTCGTGCCCGGCGACGCCCAAGTCATAGAAGCTGCGGTTGCTGCGCGAGCGAAGCTATACGCTGGAAGAACTTCGTGCGCACGAGTAGACCGCAAGTGCTTTTGTATGGATGACTGGCAAATGTCTGCGAGCTTACAAGGACGTGGCGTCGAACAGGGTCTGCTCCCGCCTTCGGAGAAATCCTCCCGCTTGTCCTCCCGGCTCACGTTGCGGGATGACCTGCCCGCCGTATGCTGCGTCGGCCGCGCAACTGCTGAAGCTCGGACCATTCGTGCGTAGCAGCTTAAGCGGGAAGCAGCTCGATCGTCTATCCTTTATGCACTTCATAGGTTGTTTGGTCAAGAGTGTGGTAGTGAACCGCTCGGGACATATCATGTCGCTTGGGTCTTGATGTCGCTGCGGCGATGATGACTGGCAGCGGAGTCAGCAGCTGAACATTCGCTATGCGACCGCCCGCCACGTGTGTGCAATCCATACCGCTGGCTGCAACCAAAGACTATCCTGCGAAAGCGTGGTACGATGCCAACATAGAGCTCGTCCCTATTGCATGCACCGGTGCACCTCTCAATCCCAGCTCTGCCCTTGTCGCGGCCATTAGGGGGCGTGCGTTCGGGCGGGTTCGGGTGGGGGCACACTCCAACGTGATTGACGCATTGCGGATTTCCAAAGATCGTGCACCTGTACAGACAGAAAGGGCAGCTGAAGCCAGCGCGGCTGGCTGTGTGATGTTTCCTTCGGCAGCGGATCCCCCAGCGCTCGTCGAGCCTTATCCCCCGATGTGCACTATATTTTGACATCAGCCTCTCGATAAAGGGAGCCAATCGTGTCGCATAGGATCAGTGGTACCACGCTTACTCACGCGCGCACACACACACACACATTCACACACCTCAACCCCCGCCCCCACCTTGTTCTTCTGCTGCTCGTGCTCGTGGATGCGAAAAACCTCACGCGCGGCCACTGTCGAAATCGACTCGATCTTGTCTTTCGTAGCGTGGACGAGCCAGCGCCGCCGCGCAAGTCGGTTCCCGTCGAAAAACCTCAGCTCCGTCCCATCGGCTGAAAGCGCCAACAACAACCACTGGAGGCAGCAGCAGCTGCTGCAGTGGTCGAATAGTAGTGGACGGACGGACGACAGATCGATCAATCGATCGACAAATCGATCAGTCAGTGGGTACATTCGCAGGCCGTCCCCCCTCCTCCTCCTCCTCCTCCTCCAGTCGGTTCTTCATTCCGCAATTTGCCGTCTCCGTCCGACCGCTGCGCCTTTTGCCCCGTCGTCCGTTTCCGTTTCGCGTTTCCTTTCCGTCAAGAGACGCTCGACGCAGTCAGTCAGTCGCCCGAGCGCTTGCGGCCTTTGACGGACGCACCGACCGACCAACCGACCGGCCGACGAACCTACTGACTGCCTCTTCTTCGGCTACGCTCCCGACTCCTGCCGTCCAAACCTCATCATGGCTACTGGAGGACGCGCGTCGTACATGTCGCTCGCGACGCCCAACGACGTCAAGAACTACACGAACGACGTGGGTCAGGTCCAGTGGGCGCAAGTGCCGCTGAACGCCGCGCTGGACAAGCTCAAGTCGTCCCGTGAAGGGCTGACGTCCCACGAAGCCGAGAAGCGCCTGGCCGAGTACGGGCCGAACAAGCTGCCGGAGGAGAAGGTGAACAAGTTTACGCTCTTCATGGGCTTCATGTGGAACCCGCTGTCGTGGGCCATGGAAGTCGCCGCGGTGCTGTCGATCGTGCTGCTCGACTATGCCGACTTTGCGCTCATCCTGTTCCTACTGCTGCTGAACGCCGTCATTGGCTACTTGGAAGAGGTGCAGGCGGGCGACGCCGTGTCCGCCCTCATGGGCCAACTGGCGCCCGAGGCCAAAGTGTTCCGCGACGGCGAGATCAAGAACATTCCAGCAGACCTGCTCGTTCCTGGCGACGTGATCCGCGTGCGTCTCGGTGACGTGATCCCGGCTGACCTCAAGTTTCTCGAGGGCGACGCTGTCAAAGTGGACCAGTCGTCGCTCACGGGCGAGTCGCTGCCTGTGACCAAGCACGAAGGCGACGAGGGCTACTCTGGCTCGGTCGTGAAGCAGGGCGAGATTGAGGCCGTGGTGACCAGCACGGGCATCAACACGTTCCTGGGCCGCGCTGCTGAGAAGATCGCGTCTGCGGACTCGCACGGCCGTCTCCAGATGGTGCTGACGACTGTGGGCAACTTTTGCATGGTGTCGATCCTGTTTTGGTGTGTGGTGGAGCTGCTCGTGCAAATGGCGGGCCGCTCGTCGCAGAACCCGTGCGTGATCGTGACGGACGGCTGCCTGGGCGTCGCCAACATCCTCGTGCTGATCGTTGGCGGTATTCCAGTGGCCATGCCGACTGTACTGTCGGTGACGCTCGCCATCGGTTCGTCGGCTCTGGCCAAAGAGAACGCTATCGTGACTCGTCTGACGTGCATTGAAGAGATGGCATCGATGGAGGTGCTCTGCTCGGACAAGACGGGCACGTTGACGCTGAACCAGCTGTCGGTGGACCTGGACAACCTGATCCCGTACAACAACTTCTCGACCAGCGACATCCTCAAGTACGGCGCTCTGTCGGCGCGCACGGAGAACAATGAGGCCATTGACGTTGTGTGCCACAACACGTACCCGGGCCACGCGACGATGTGGAAGGAGTACACGCTGTTGCACTACACGCCGTTCGACCCCACGACGAAGCGCACGATTGCCAAGCTGAAGGACAACAAGACGGGCGAGATCTTCCGTGCCGTGAAGGGCGCCCCTCAGGTGGTGCTGGACATGGACGTGAACGCGGATTCGCTTCGCACGGAGGTCGAAGAGCGCATCGACGAGTTTGCTTCGCGCGGCTACCGTGGTCTCGGCGTGGGTATCTCTCGCAGCGGCGACGTTCCAATGGAGGAGTGCGAGTGGCATATGATTGGTCTGCTGCCGCTGTTCGACCCGCCTCGTCACGACACGGCCGACACTGTGAAGAAGGCCATTGCTCTGGGCATCGCGGTGAAGATGGTCACGGGTGATCAGAAGGCCATTGCCGTGGAGACTTGCCGTCAGCTGGGAATGCCGACCAACATCTTGGACACTTCTTTCTTCAACACTGCCCCGGCGCCTGGACTGAACCTGGCGCAGATGATCTACGACACGGACGGCTTTGCCCAGGTGTTCCCCGAGCACAAGTTTGAGATCGTGAAGCACCTGCAGTCGCTCGACAAGGTGGTGGGTATGACGGGTGACGGCGTGAACGACGCCCCAGCCCTGGCTCAGGCCGACATTGGTATTGCGGTGGACGACGCGACTGACGCCGCTCGTGCCGCCGCGGACATTGTGCTCGTTTCTCCTGGTCTGAGTGTCATCATCACGGCCATCCGCATGAGCCGCGAGATCTTCTTGCGCATGAAGAACTACGCCATGTACTCGATCGCCATGACGGTGCGTATCGTGTTCACGTTCGGCATCCTGACGGTAGCGTGGAACTGGTACTTCCCTCCGATTCTCGTGGTGATTCTGGCCATCCTGAACGACGGCACGATCCTGACGATCTCGAAGGACAACGTGGTTGCGTCGCCGTATCCGGACTCGTGGAAGCTGAAGGAGGTGTTTATTTCGTCAATCTCATTCGGCCTGTGGCTGACACTGTCGACGATCGTGCTGTTCGCTATTGTCATCAACTCGAGTGGTTTCGAGAGCACTGGTGTTGAGAACTTGTGCGTGAGCTGCATGAAGGACGAGTGCCACGACTTTTTCCAGGACCAGTACCAGCAGTGTGTGATGGAAAACAACGCGACTGGGTGTGGCGAGATGACAGGCAGCGTGCCTCAAGCCGCCAGCTTGCAAGATGTGGGCACGTTCCGTCAACGCGCTGTCAACGCTTACTGGACGCGTTACGAAAATATGTATGACTCGCGCTCCCAGCTGTTTGAGGACCTGTCGGACGTGCACCTCAATTCGCTGCCGAACGATGTGAAGCCGTCGGCAGAGGTCGCGTACAACCAGTATGTGTATGCGTACACGTTGGGTGTTGGTGGCGCCGCGTACGAGGGCAACTACAACGTGTTCACTGCTGCCCAGTTGGGCCAGGGTGTGACCTTCATCGGCAACGACGAGGTGCCCCTTACGAACGAGGTCAGCTTCTGCGACTACGTGTGGGGTTTCAGCAACTGGAACTCGACGTGGACGCGCGACAACGAGATGATCGGCCCCGGCATCCAGCGCAAGGAAGGCGTGCTGCGGTCGCTGGTGTACCTGCAGGTGTCCATCTCTGGCCAGGCTCTGATCTTTGTAACGCGCACGGCCGGCAGCAACAACTGGTTCTTTGCCGAGAAGCCGTGCAATCTCCTGCTGATCGCGTTCGTGTTCGCCCAGGTCGTTGCGTCGGTCGTGGGCTGGATCGGTTTCGGCGGCTACCCGACGGACCGCATTGCTGTGATTGGGTGCGGCGGCGGCTACACGCTGATCGCGTGGCTGTGGTCCATCTTGTGGCAGTTCCCGCTCGACGTGCTCAAGTTTGTGGTGAATTACATCTTGACGAAGAACGCGTACGCGAGCAAGGCGTTCACCGAGCGCATCAATGCAGGCCACCCGACAATGAAGCACTCGGCGGTGACGAACACGCAGCGTTCGATCCGTGCTAGCCGCACCGTCTAGAAAGAGGGTGTGTCTCGGATTGTGCACCAAAGCGGGCAGCAGCCGTTGGGAGGTCATTTGCAGATTCTTGGCAGTCTATCGCAGCGTATGAAGAGAGCACAGAGCTGCGTCGCGGGTACGACTGATGGCGAAACGCATTGTGGAGCTCGTGCAAGTTGATGCGAGGAGCCACGCGAGGCCGTTGCACTGCAAGTAGTATTACTTAGTCAGTAGGAAGGGGTAAAAATGATACTCGTTTTCCTTGTACTTCGGGCACTCGTTTGCACATGTCGCCGATTGATCGATCGATCGATCGTCGGTGGCAATAAGACGACTCCGTCCGACTCTTCCCGCACTGCCGACGACAAGAGCAGCGAGCGTCGAGACCCCACGGCCATGACGACTTACCCGCCATGTAGTATGGAATGGAAAGCTCAAGCCATCGTCGGCTGATTGCTTGTCGCTACAACTTCTGACTTTGCCACTCTCCATGCAGCACACACACCTCCCCATGTTGCCGGGAAGATGGACATGTGAGGTGCAAGTAGGCGACGCCGAAGCGGTAACACTGCGACGAAGCCCACGCTCGGAAGTAGGTCGACCAAGCGGCTGAAGACCACATGTCCAGCAAGCAGATTTCCCCGACGACCATACAAATGATCGTTTCCATTGGCGTGTTGTCCTCCGGTCGGATCTTTCGTAGCTGCTTCGAGCGCTTTGTACAGCGACAAAGGAGAAGCTATCGGTCAATCAGCATACAGCGTGTTGCAGCTGCTTCACTTGGCGAGCAGACCAAGAGATAGATCGACGACGTGCAGGTTTTGACCGTTAAAGGTAAAGTACACGTTTTGTCAGGCAACATCGAGGGACAACCGACGCGTCAAAGTTGAGGCACGTCGGGATAGGTATCGATGAAGACGGATACGCAATGAGTGCAGAGGCATTGCAGGGGAAAGTAAAAGACAGTCGCTAAGACAGCTGACAGACGACGCTGCGGTAAATGAATAGTCGCCGCATGTTGCGAGCAAGAGGCGCTGGAATGTGCTTGTCAGCTCTACTGTTCGACACGTCCAGTCCGTCTCCTCGTGGCTGCCATAGACGTCAGTCGAACGCAACTAAATCTAACGCCTGCGTTCTATTCTTTTGTGGCTGACACACTATTGTAGTTACAACAAGGATAGGTCAGCCACACGCTCGCTCGCCGCGGTTCAATCGACGGGTCGACTCGACGTACCCCCGTTACAGTCGGCTGTAACTTCGTTGCCGAGCGTCTTTTCGATTACAGCCGACTCTAATGCAAAAGCACCTCACAAGTTCGCGGAAGCAGCTGCAACGACCACATGGCCGTTGTCTCGGACGTGGACGGCGCTCGTCGACGCAGCGGACGACCTCCGAGCGCGACTTCGGACGTCGCACGGCCCCTCATGCTGCTGCCGCCTGCCCACCGCTCGCCGCTGAAGCGCCCGTCGCTGTCTCCGCCCGTATGGAAAGACCAGCTCCGCCGTCGCTGTTTCCAGCGCCTTCAACGAGACCGTAACCAGTTACTGGCGAAACTGCGACGTGCCGACGGCCGCACGAGCGTCACGGAGGAGATGCAGCAGCTCGTGGCCCACGTCTCCTCGTGCGCCTCTTCGGCTGCTTCCGTCGACGACCTGCTGCTGCTAGGGAAGCTGACCGAGAGCGACTACTTGGAGATCGTGCACGCGCTGGAGGACGCGCTGCGACAAGACGAGGAAGAGGAGGAGCTGTCGCACATGGCGGCGCTCGAGGACGCCGAGCTAGAGGCCATGCTGGCTGGTCTGGAGCTGGGGGGACCGCTGCAGGAGCAGGGACCGGATGCTGTTGCTGGCGGTCGAGCGCTGTGTGAGGGGGGCACGACCGCTCTGGACATTTCCGTGCTGTGTCCTCAGTGCAAGACTGGGTACCTGAGAGAAGGGAAGCTCGACGAAGCAGCAGAAGCAGCAGTGGCGCTTCCCTTTCTCTCTTGTTGCTGCGGCTTCACGTTCCGCGTCCAGCACGAGCGTCACAGAGTGCTGGAGGAGTTCCAAGACAAGATTGTGGACGCGTTCGTGACGCATCGGTACGACAGGTGCATGTACCCAGCGACTCGTGTTTGTCATCGACTCTCTACTGACCCGAACTGTTTTTACTGCTGCTGTTGTTGTTGTTGTTGTCCATGTACCGCAGAGACGTGTGCAGTGCCGACCCGACGTTCGAGAAGATGGTCAAGAATGTGCAGGACAATGGACCGGACGTGCTCTGCATCAGGTGCACGGCCTGTAAGTGCGACTACGCGCTGCCGTAACGCTACAACTGCTACAGCTGCTGCTATCTGTCCGTCTGTCTTCGTTATGGATGCTGCCAGGGTCTACGACAAGAGAGCGCGTGTGGGTTGGGCCGTCTGGTCTGCTGCTGGTTGTGCTAAATGGGTGGCACAAAGTGCGCGATCATGAGGGTCCCAATCGAGAGCAGTCCCAGCAGTCCCGGCGTGAACAAGCCGTACACCGGCCAAAAGGCGCAGACGTAGCTCAAGGCAGCCACACTTCCTGCCACTGTTCCAACGGAGATCACCTTTGGGCAGTAGACGCTCCAGTCCAACTGAATGCGCTTGATACAGGGCAAGTAGACGGCTAGGTACGCTGTGATACAAACGTTGACCCCCGTGCAGCCGAGCGCTATTTCGAAAAAGCCCCTATCGATACAGCGCGAATTAGCGGCCGTATCCCTCTCCCCCGATTCGCAGAAAATAAAGTTGTGGTACCATTTCACGCGCGCGTCAGTCGCGATAACGCGGATAAAGTCGGTGCCGTAAGCGACGAGGCCCGCGGCCGCCATCCACAGGAACGCGTGCAGTTGCATGCTCCGCTGAGCTGCTCGCTGTGATCGACTGACGCGCTGCTGCCGGCAGTCGCTGCTGTTGTCCTCGTCGTCGTCATCACTCTCGTCGCTCTCGCGGTGGTGGGCACGCTGATACGGTCGAGCCGTCATGCCTTTCACGGCCGACATCGTACTCAGACTCATTTGATGACTAGATAGATAGGGAGCGGAATAGGGATGCTCGAATACATTAGAGGGGCTTTACTTTCGATCAATAAGGTCGACATACGGCCGTCTGACGACATCAACAATTCCTCGCACACTGCTGCAACATTCGATCATCCAGATTATAGTACCCGCGTTTGACGTTTGGGTGCATGCAAGTGCTATATTATCTGAATTCAGGTACTTTTTTACCGGTCATGTACATGTGCGCATGCGAAGCAGCACCATGGAAGCAAATGTTACAATGTCGAGTTCGATCGTCACTGCTGCTGCTGCTGCTGCTTGGACGGACAAACCAGAAGCCTCATACACACCCACGACAATTCGCGCATTGCGACTCGATCGTGGCGCAAACCTCTCGGAACAATATCTCAACGGCAGTCGAACCGACAGCACCGTCAACTTTTCGGTCATAGTCGTACCCTGGAATCCAAATGAGTCCGTCGTGAATTATCCGCACAAACACGGGCACGCGCCGGTGCATCAGCTGCTTGTACCCACGTTGTCGCCAACTCTCGAGAAGCAAACGAGCAGTGGTCGAAGCCGAGCGGCGGTGGCGCCGCGCACTGATCTTCGGCTTGGCAGCTGCTGACGTGTCGTGCCCAATGCTGAGACCGTAGCCGATTCCAGTGCCGTCCGCGATGCGTTCGTCATCCAGCACGAAGTCGAGGGCTTGAGTCAACACGGCAGTGAACGAGTCCAGTATCTCGACAGGCAGTGGCAGGAAGATGGAAGCTACCAGCGGATGGATCTGCACGCGCGAGACACTCGAGTACTCTGGCACACGGCGCAAGTCCAAGCCCGCTTGCTTCGCTCGACGCCGTATCGTTCCCACAAACTCGTCTGCTGCAACGCCACTGCAGGCCAACCAGCGCACATCCAGGTGGTAACACCGTGAGACGTCCATCGTTTCTTCTAGACGCATCACAACCCATTCCGTCCGCGAGTCCTCCAGTTTCTTCTTCAGGGCAGGTGACGACGACGACGCGGTCGAGGTCGACATTTTACAAGCCATCTTGAAGCTCAACATGCGACTCTCGGTAAGCGGCACGGCTCTCTCCGTTTCCTGTGCGTTGTCTGGGCGGTCCGACGACATTTTGATGGTGATACTTTCGCGGTCACCAAATTCCGAAGGAGCGACGCGAGACTGTAGGTATGCAATGAACTTGGTGAAACTCGATGCGTATGCTGTCAGGGGATCAGCGCTGGGCTTTGCGCACACTGGTGGTACAATTGCGAACCGAACTCGGCGGCATTTCGTTGTATCTGCCATATCGTCCAGGTAGCCGCAGAGCAAGTTGTCCAGGGCGTTCCAGTTGTCCTCCGGCTGCGGGTACCGGTGGAATAGCTGCTGGTGTGGCTGGAACGATTGAGTGAGCTCGACCCAAAGCGAGTAAGTGTATGACGTGTAGGCTGCTTTCACGTCATGTGGCTCACGCTGGACAAACCTCTTGACCTCGACCGTTTGCCGCTCGGCGTCGTAAATAAGCTGGTGAATACGATGCCCCATGCTCAAATGATAGACTCTTTGCCGACTCTCAGAGCGTGATTCACCACCTGCCAGCAACGCACGCGAGTCACAGCTTGACACAAGCTGAAAATCACAAGCTAGTCGCTGGCAGATCATCTCGGTCAGCAATTCATCGTGGTTGCGATACCGCGGCACGCATTCAATCGTCGGTGTCTGAATTGCCGTCGTGGGTAACGTCAGTGTGTAAAATGCTTCCGAGTAGCCCTGGCGCAGCTCTTGGGGAGACGGAAAGTGATCGGTCGTCAACGGAAGTATGGCCGGCGACGTAAGACTTGTCCAATTTGGTCCGACGAACATTGGCTCGGTATCGTGCATCACCGCATCCGGAATCGTGCTGTCCGATGCACGATGGGCTCCATGGCTTGACATGGGAAACAAGTGACTCCAGCGCTGACGGTCGCTCGATAGACGCTTGGACCCGTGGGCTTTGGCGTAAGAAAACGGGTTCACGATCGCCTTTTGTTGACTGATGGGGGTCAGTCCGAGACTCGTTCCAGATAAAGCCTTGAAGCTCATGCTTCCAGACACGGCCGGTGCTTTGAAGAAGTCGGACTGATTCCGGCGCAAACCTAGCGGTGAACCCGTGTTGCTCAAATGCCTCTGGCCGCTCGTTGACCTACTAATGGAGCCACCGGATCCTCGTGGCGATGAAAGCGCAGGTGAGCGGCCAAACGCTGACGGTACATCCTTCTTCATGATTGCAGCGCGCGCAACAAGTCGGAAGCCCTCATCTCTCTTGTCCAACGGAGTGCCGTACGGGCTACGATATCTTCGACTCTCGATGGAATGATCGAGCGGCACTTTCAGTGAGCGTGTGAGATGTGTGTCTGCCCTCGGAAGTGAACGAGGCGCTGCCGCAACGCTGCGATCCGCGTGATCGACCATAGTCGCCTTACTTGACAGTTCTCGTGGCGATAGCAGTGTCTGGACCATACTGACCCTTTCGCTGGTAAGAGCGCTGTTGTCTTTGTGACAGCTGTCGGCGTTGTCACTACTGCCGCATTGTCTCGGACATTCTGCTTTCTTTCGTGCATCACGAAGCAACCCCTCGAGACGACCATCGTTGGCAATGGTGACGCTGGTGACATCGCCGTGTTCTTCATTGATTCCCGGTGAAGCAGAACCTAGCCGTCGATCACCAAAGTGTCGGTCCGCAGCATATCGACCGTCCGGCACCACAGGCGAGAACACGCTCTCGTCGTAAGCTCGCAATGCTGCTCGCACATGTAGTCGACTACTCAGAGTAGCAGACGACTGGTTCGAGGCAAGAATGGGGTCAAAATCCGGAGACCGGCTAAGCTGCAATCGATCTAGCGGAGGTGTTGATGCCATCGGGTCAAGAAGCGAAGTTGCTGCATACGACATCGGAGGCTGACAGTGCATACTCTTGATTGGCATGATTGCATTGGCAAAGACAGTCACTCTTCCACTATCACTGTCATTTGCCCGGCCAGCCTCTTCATCATGCTCAATGGAAGTGGGCATAGTGTCGCGGATACTACCACTGGACCCAGCTTCCGATTTTCTGAGCATCAAGTTCCGCAGCACCGTCGGGAAAAGCAGCTTCTCCGATGGCGAAGCAATGTCAAACATCCGAAATGGCGGCAATGGGCAAAAGTGCCCGTTGCGTTTGGTTTGGCACGTGGAGGAATGCCAAGGATGGCCCTTTTGCTGGTCATGTGGCTTGGACTGATTCGAGTTTGGTGTGGCCGGTGGCTCGGCTGGGCTGCAGTCCTGGCTCGCTTGCTCACAGTCGCAACTGAACTCCAAGAACGTAAGGTTCACCCAATGCGGTACATCGTACGTCAGCTGCTCGCCCGAGTCTTCGGATTGGTCTGCCATGACAGCGGTGTTGTTGCGTGTGGCTGACGTTAGGGTGCGACGCAGAACGTCGCTGCCAGCTTGTGCCCACTCGGTGCTTTTAGGCAGGGAAGACGAGAGCAAGCTCGGTCTGTCGAGGAAGGACGGCGCAGCTTCAACAGGCTTGAGTTCTGCACCCGGGACTTTGTGAAAAGAAAGTTTGTGCAACGGTCGTGGCGCCTCCGTGTTCAGCTGTATCGTCTTTGCGAGCAACTCGTTGCGGTAAATGAACAACGGCACCACGTGCAACGGTGGCGTGGACAACGAGATCATGTCCATGCCGACCCCACTATCCATCATGCGCTGCTCCGTGATTTCGGCAAGCTTGCTGTCGACGTTGAAGATGCTGCACCCTGCTGTAATCATGACGACGCCCTGGCCAGTCCGGCCAAGGTCGCGGTCCATGTAATGCTTGTCCAGCACATTCAAGGTCACGTTGATAGCTTCCAAGATATTGCCATCTTTGGCTCGAGACGGCACTCCACGAGGCAGCTCTGTCCACTGTACGTACACATCGTCACCGTCTCCATTCTCTCTGTCGCAAGCATCCGCTGTGGTTGTTGCTGCGGCAGTCGCAGCAGCAGCTCTGCGCCCATCGTTTGCTTGTAGCGGACACCGACGTATCTCATAGTGTGCGCGCGACTTTTCTTCTGGCGTGCGCCACCGATGTGTGTCGTAGCACGTGGCAAACTCGTGCTTGAGCAGCAGCAGCAGTCGGCTCCAGTCCGGTCCCGTAAAGTTCATCACCACGACCTTGTAAAAGTCCTCATAGTAGCGACCCGAGACGGGGTCAACGTGGATCGTCGGGCCATGTCCCTGCGCAACGTGCACGCCCGGCGCGTGGCATCCAGGCCCCACGCCCTGTCGTCGCGGGTCGACAAACGGCGCGTGCGTGGGGTCAAAGCCCGCGGGGAACTGGTCGGCGTCGTAGAACGTCCGCGCGAACGTGAGGATCGTGACCGAGTGCGTCACAGCGCTCTCGCTCCACTTGCGGCTCTGCACGCGCAAGAGGTCGTAGAGCAGCTTCTCGTAGTACACCTGTCCGTCGTCGGGCGCGACTTGCCACATCTCGGTGCTCAGCTGCACGAGCCACACGAGGCGACTGGAGCGCGAGCGGACCACGATTTTGGTCGCGTCGCCAATGACGCCGCACTGCACGGGCGTTGCAGTGCTGTGGTGGCTGTGGCTGTGGCGCAGGATGGCGTCCACTTGGCCGCGCATGCCGCTGCACTCGACGGCGCGGCCCTCGTAGACGCAGTGGCCGAGCATCGTGACCTTGAAGCGCCACACGTCGGCGCGCGAGAGGAACTGGTCCTTGAAGCTCAGCTCGACAAAGTCCACGACGACGTCGGACGGCGTCGAGAGGCGGCGCACGCGGACGCTGCCAAAGGCCTCGAGGCCGAACTGGGCCGCCAGGTCGCGGGCGACGCTCACGTGGACCGTGCCGCGCACGGGCGCGAGCGACTCGACGGTCAGCACGAGCCGCGGGTGGCGGCGCTCGGCCTGCACGAGCTCCACCAGCGAGTGCTGCGGCACGTCGGGGAACACGTCGGGGTTCAGGACCAGCAGCTCGCCGGCGCGGAACTCGGGGCCGTGGACGAGCAGCGTCAGCGCGTCGCTGAGGCTGCGGCGCGGGCGCCACATGGTACGTGCAGCCGCAGCAGCAGCGGAGGAGGAGGACGCGGCCGAAGGGGACGCGACGCTTGCGACATGGCGCGGCGTGGGCGGCCGAAGAAAGCACTTTTTAGGTGCCGAGGCGACGCGCGACGGCTGCTGCGATTGGGTGAAATGCGGCGCGTGAGGATACCGACGGAACAAAGTGCGGGTCGTGGGGTCGGTCGCGTGCGGGTGCGGAATGGGTACACTTGTTGCGTGGATTCTGTGTTCGTGACGACGGGAAACAGCTCTCGTGGCTGTGAGAAAAGCGTGTGGTGGGGCAAGAGGGGGCCGCAGGAGAAACGGGTCGGACGGTCGGCAGCAGACGTCGTCGGACACAAACACAGATCGATGCGACCGACCCGCGCGTTATGTGCCGACGCAACTGACGTCTGCAGTGTGTGTGTGTGTGTGTGTGTGTGTATGTTACGTCAACAACCACAAGGGCTCTCGTTGCAGGTCATGAACTCGCAAGTGGGCCGTGCAATCCCGCTCGATCTCGTCTCCGAGCTGACAAACACTCAGTCACGCTGAGCATGTTCACGAATTGGTAAATAGCTGGACATGTGCACAGGCGGTACCAGGAAAAGAGGCGACGACAGCAAGCGATGTGCATGCCGTGTGATGTGTCGGGGGCTGACATGTTGTCGTTCCAGAACGTGGCCTCAGAATCAAAATCATGAAAAAGAGTACGGGCGCAGCAGATATGGTCTCGATGTCGCAATCGCAGACCAAAAGCAGCCCATAAGATCTGAGTCGACCACTCGCAACTCGATTGTGTCGTCCGACTTTTTTCTGGCGAAGAATAAAGCTGACCGACGAAAAAAGTCCCGATTGACCGACCGACCGACCGATTGACGACCGACCGACCGATTGACCGACCGACCGACCGACCGACCGACCGATTGACCGATTGACCGATTGACCAATTGACCAATTGACCAATTGACCAATTGACCAATTGACCGGGCGGTTCATACTCAATCCGAGAGAAAGCGAGCGCGAGTGGGTGACAGACCCACCCACGACCGTGTAGCCATCCCCCGCTTGTCCCGCATCTTTACGCCCAGCGCAACACACGCTTCTGATTGGCCAAAACCGCGCCCTCCCGATCGCCCACCGTCGCGCTCTTCTCGCCCATGAGCAGCTCCGTCGAAGCGGGCGGCGCGTCGCGCACGACGGCGTCGGCCGAGGGCGACGTGGACCTCATGCGCACGATCCTGGGCGAGCACGTGCCGCAGAGCGTCATCCTCGCGTGTCTCACCGCCTGCGCCTTCGACGTGAGCGCTGCGCTGAACTGGTACTTTGCCGAAGTCGCAGCGGCTGCGCCTACAGGTTCCGAGACGGAAGAAACGGCCGTCTTGGAGACCGCAGCGGCCGCGCGCGCGCGTGTCCATTGCATCCACTCTGGTTTGGGCCTCACGCTCCATGCGCGCGCCGTCGGGGGGATGGTGAGCAAGTCGGAAGCGTACTACGCCACACTGACGAGGGGAGAGCCGGCGTACGACGTGCTGACGCCCAGTAACGACAAGTTCCGCACGATTCGGCTTCGGAAAAGAGGCTGGAGAATGGGCGCGTTGCAGACTATGCCGTCGCCGGCGACGCAGCGACCGGTGTTTGCGAACGGCGACGTGGTGACGCTCGAGTGCAATGGCTTGTGGCTCAAGGCGAACTCGATCAACAAGATGCTGCAGTGGAAAGCGCCATCGGACGACGACCGGAACAAGTTTGTGATCCGAGGGCTGCCGCTGGGCAAGAACTTGGCACCTGGTGACTACTTTTTTCTCACGAGCTACAAGTGGAAGGACAAGGAGATTGTGCGCAAGGACGAGCGGCCGGTCGGCATCAGCAGCTACAACACAAACGTGCATCGATGCTTCCTCGGGCTCGATCGTATCAAAACGTACGGACGGTTTGCTGATGCCACCGCCTGTGTCTTGCCTTCTTATGACCACACAACGTACTGACGTGCTGTGCTGTATGCTTTTTTGTTGGTGAACAGAGCGAATCAACGCTTGTATCTGTATGCAAAGCTTACGCAAAATGCAATCAAGAGTCTACCAAGACCTGACGACCCGGTCGACGCCAGCCACCTGACTATCAGTGTCATGGGTACACCGAGATCCATGGGAAGCTTCGCCTCGCAAGAGCAGCCGCATTCGGTTCGTGGTCCTTTCTTTTGGTAGCTCGATAACCGTCTGATCGTTTTTTGCTACGGCTTGTCCAATGTGCAGCTGCGGACGAACTCAATCGCAGACGAAGTTCAATTCTCAAACGCCAAGATCGAGCAAATGATGGATATAATCGGCACGAACGTGACTCGTGACCACCTGGCCAACTTTCTTGACGGTGCTGGCGGCGATGTGCAAGTTGCACTGGAGCACTATTTCATGAGTGTAGCGACCGCCAAGGATGGCGTGGAGGCTTTACGAAGTACGTCGGCGACTGATGCCCCTGCAGTAACAGAGGCTCAGGTTGTAGAGTCAACAGCAGTCCACGAAGAGGCACAAGCTCGTACACACGCTCAGGCAAAAGTGAACCACGGCCGCCGCCCGCTAAGCCAGCTCATCTTGGGCATCCCGCCGTTCTCGGAGCCGACGCCGTTGCCAAGCACGAAGCCGTTGTCGATTGTACCTACCAGTGTTTCCACAAAGGCCAAGTATGTGGCTGCTGGGACCCAGCCACTCCCGCCTTCGGTCGACGCGGCAAGTACTTTTGTTGGAGAGCCATCACCTGGCATGCCGCCTCCGGTGCCCTCTCCGTGTCCGTCTTCTGTTGTGCCTCGTATCGATCCTGCTGCAGGTCGCGGTGAGGTGGCTGTATCTGCGGTATTACAATCCACTGTTGGTAGCGCTTCCGTGCCTCGAATAATCGAGGATGAGGTATATGTGGAGACAATTGACTACTCGAAGAATCACGAGCCAATGGAACAAGTGATGACCCCAGTGGAGCAGCAAAGTCATGGATCAGTGATAAAGTCTGGGATAGACAACGAACGGGCCGAGGCACTCACGATCCAGGACTTTGAGATGCTGAGTGTGCTGGGCAAAGGCAGTTTTGGCGCTGTGATGCTTGTCCGTTTCAAGAAAGATGGCCGTGTCTTTGCTCTCAAGATTATCAAGAAAAATAACATGGACCAGGCTGATGTTCAAAACGCTATCGAAGAACGGCAGATCTTGCAGCGCATTCATCACCCGTACATTTGTGGGCTGGTGTTCGCCTTCCAGACCAACGAGCGGCTGTACTTGGGCATGAAATACTATGCTGCTGGAGACCTCTTCTACCACCTAAACATGAAGGGCCAGTTGGGCGCAAAGAACGCGAAACTGTATGGCGCAGAGCTTGTGCTGGCAATCTCGTACCTCCACGAATTGAACATTCTGTACCGTGACCTCAAGCCTTCGAATGTCATGATCGATTCCGAGGGCCACATCGGCGTGGTCGACTTTGGTCTGTCCAAGCAGCACATATACGGCAGCAATTTTGGTGTCAAGACACTGTCGGGCACGGCTGAGTATGTGGCGCCAGAAGCGCTCGCACAATCTGCTGACGGCTCTCGCAACTATGGCAAGGCATACGACTGGTGGAGCTTGGGTGTCGTTATCGTACGTGCTCGCGTTTGCCACGTGCTTACTCGCTACATTCCATTGTTCGCATCTAACTTGTGCTTGCGTATGACTGCAGTACGAAATGCTCGTTGGCGAGTCGCCGTTCTACGATGAGAATGAGCACACGATGCTCGGCCGGATCGCACATTCCGATGTGGTGTTCCCGCCGGACTTTCCACGCGATGCGCACGACTTGGTTACGGGATTGCTGTGCAAGGATCCGAAGAAGCGGCTAGGGTCAGAGTCAACGGGCGGCGTGGACGCCATCAAGCGCTGTGAATTCTTCAGCCAGATAGACTGGGACAAGCTGTTGCGGCGAGAAGTCAAGGCTCATTGGACTCCGAAGCTCAGCAGCGAGACAGACACGCGATACGTTGATCCCGAGTTCATCGAGGAGGGTCCGCCTTCAGCAGCGTACGATCCGAGCGCTGGCTCGGAAAACTCGTCGAGCAAGCGCTTCAGCCAATTCTCATTCAATTATAACCTCGAGCGATAATGATCGAGTGAGTGAGTACGCGCAAACGATTGGCCATGCGACAGCAAATTGTGCTGTTTGCAGAAATCTGTACAGGCCCATCGATCTTCGACCCGCTCAGGTCGTTGACCTGCCCGTCACGTCTCGGAATTTCGAGGTCAGCGTCTTCATGAGCACATCTCGGAGCTGTTTGTCTTTGTATGGCTTTGCACATTGCATCAGCAATGCAGCAGATCGACACGGATCGGGACCACACGCTACCCGACAAAAGCATGCGGCGACACCTCAGCCGTCAGCATATCAGGCGAAAGATACGACCGATGGCTGGTTGGATTGCAGCACCTCGAGAACCGACGCGCGTGAGCAGCTACTTCATCTCGGAACCATAGCTTTGGTTACGTACCCACGACAGCGTACCCACTGGAACGTACTCGCGACAGCGTGTACACTCGAACGTACCCATGGCAGCTCAGTTTCCGTCGAAATATCCCCGTGTTTGTTTGTGTCTGCTTTTGTCGCTGTTGTTACTCGTTTCAGCGTTCTGTTGAAGACGTTTCGGTTGACTTCTACCGTCTCTACTCGTTTCGGCGCGTTTTCGTCGTGGGTCTGCAAAACCAAAGTCCGTGAATTACAAATATAGCCTCCGTCCCAAAGCCACCCGTTTCTCTCTCTCACTTCGTCTTTCGCTGCTTTCTCCGCACGAAGGACCACACATCGATACCGCCCCACCGCGTGTGGTGAATGGCCGCCTATCTTTCCTTCCGCTACGACTTCCCAATGACGACCCTCGACGTGGACGCAGCTCCTGCGGCCTTTGTCAATCGTTCCAGCACTGTGTTCCCCACGGTGTCCTCTTTTGTCGTTGGAGTGCACCTCAGGTGTGCGCTGATAGTACCCAATCTTCTCTCTGAGGGAAGTCGGTCAGTCCTTTATGACATACGTTCTCTGTTCGTGCCGACTTGTTGCACTGCCTCTCCCGTTTGGGAGCCGTGGGCCTCATGGAGCGTCGTCTCCCCTTTGTATGAGTGCTGCCCGTCGGCTGTTGGTTCTCAACGGTCTTTTCGGCGGGTCTCCCACTGCAGAGTGCACGCGAGTCGAGAGTAGATACCGTTCAGTATCATAGTACCCGATGTGGCGCTTCCCCGCCCTCGTGTCTCCAATAGCTGACACATACTGCATCCACTTCATTTCGTGCTATACCTGTCACTGGCGCAGCGCCTCTCTCGAGCGGTCGGTCAGCACGAAGCCGCGTCACATGACGTTCATTGTCTGCGGTCTCGACGGACGAACCAGTGGGGCACGCACCATAGCGGCAGTCACATGTGCTTGCGTAGCTCTTCGAGCAGTGCCTTCTGAACGTCCTGCTGAACTGTGGCCAAAGGCGAACAGGCAGTCCTGACCGGCTGATTCGAACGTCGGCTGGCCAAGTGCATGGCCACTGATTCCCTCTGGCACGGGGGAAGCTCAGGAGAATGTGCGGAGCTTCCGACCTTCGTCGCTCAGTGAGCGAATGAGGTGACCGTCACCTGATAACCGGAATGTGATGCAGTTGTGACACGACTCCCATCAATGACGGGCGATCAAGCACCGCTTCTCCTTGCACACGGGTGTCATGGTAGAGGTTACTTCGTCAGCCTCTCAGATGTACCAACTGGACGAATGGAGCCGACTGTCCAAAACCTACGGGACAGATCAGCGTCATCCCCTGAGGTATGGCGGTATCCGACAACGTCGCCAATGTTGTCTGCGTGGGCGCAAGAAGAGGCGAGATACAGCAGCTGAAAAGAGCCCCAAGTCAAAACATTGGCTGTGCACCTTCGATCCAGCTTTTGTCATTCGTCTACGGATCGCCGCACCTCGAGGTTACTACGCGACTGAGACGAACACGTTCTGCCAGGTACCCGTTAGCTCAGCGCATCCTGTAGTGACCAAACGTCGATTCGCAAACGATGTAGTAGTCACGGGCTGCTTGTGCGTCATATCTTCGTGCTTTTTGCGATGTCGCTGTGAACGGCAGAAATGCACAAAGAGCTTGTGAGTTGGTAGCACCAAAGTGTCGCTCGGCTCTGTTCAGCGAAGTCGCACGATGAGCGCGATCTCATCTCTGGTCTGGACATTGAGCTTGTCGCATCGAAGACGAAGGAGGCGTTATGGTCCACGACAACGCCGCCCTCTATCCGCTTCAGCGATCGATGAATAACTGGGACGCGAAACCACAGCATACGGCGCTATCGCAGTCGTAGTCGAGTTGCACGCGTCGCCTTCTTCGGACGCGCATCAATGCTCATTGCGCTTGCCTGTCCGCCTCTTTCCCGCGTCTTCGCTTACCCACGCGGCCCACTCCAAACGCATCGCACACTCTCGTAACGCGGAGAGCGACTTGCACTCAGCAAACTACGCAAGGGTCTTGTCTTGGTCCGAAACTCACTCGCACCGTCGTCGCATCTAGCAGCGAGTGGACGCCGCCGACAAAATACAGTCCACGTGCAATAGCGCAGTGGCCATGATACATCTTGCCAGCTAGCCCATATCATACGAGTGCAAGCCCCAGTCTTCGAGTGTGCAAGACATGCCAATGTCATTCCGGCATCAGATTGAGCTCGTACATGTCGTACCATTGTCTGCTGCCATACAACAGGATACCCGATGACATCGACTACTGCCCAACTGGGGTGCCATGCATGAGTTTGCACACCGCTCGTTCCGTTTGCAAACTCATCATATCATCGCAGCGTGAGGTCGACTGTTGTTGTTCGACAGATTGCCAGCGAAGACAGCGCCAATGAACAGTCCCAGCGTCCAGTTGATCCCTTGGACCAAGTCACAGCTCTGCGACACTCGCTCCCAATACCTTTTTACTCTATCCGAGTAGTTTACCGACGCCGGCAATGGACGCTCGAGCCTTGGCTTCTGTGGGCTGGTCGCCGTCGTCGAAAAACCCATAGCCCTTGAACGTCGCTTGCTTTTTCTTGGCGGCAGTGCTGTGCGGAAAACGAATCTCTTCTTCATGCATCAACAGGTCCTGCACACGCAGCAAGAACGACTCGAGGTTCTTGAGATAGCGCTCGGTCTGGCGATGCCGCGACGATGCGCAGAACTGGATGCCTTCGTCTTTGATGATGTAGCCAATGCCGAATCCGTCTTGTACCACGGGACCAAAGCCAAACAACCGCAAACTCGGGTTGCCGCAGTTACTTGTTGACAGCACCGAGTGGTTCAGCTTGCGCCACGCGTCGTCGGCAAACAGCGCCGGTGTAGTCTTCGTGCTGTCGGCAGCCTTCTCGCGTTGCCATAGGCACTCGAGGGCGTAGAGGTGGCGCTCGGGGCCCTTGCCAGCTGCACAGTTTTGCACGTTACTGACATGTGTGGCGATTGCCTTGCGCAGCGACGCAATCTTTTCGAGCGGCGTCTTGTCCGAGAAAAACACTTTGACAAACTCGAGCGCGTCGACTGTCATAGCTCGTGCTGCCTCTGTGCGGCCGTGTAAAAAGCGCTTGGTCAGCACCGGTTCGTAAATGCACGGCGCGTTGCCGTATTGGAAGTAGTAAGCGGCGACAAAGGCCAGTTGCACAAAAGCGTCCGGGCTCATGTTGTGCTGGGTGATAAAGAGCTTGCCAAAGGCCGTGAACTCGAGCACCTTGACCTCATTCTGCTGCATCAGGTCGCTCAGCTGGGCCTCGGCAAACTTGATGCCCTCTTGCAGCTCTTGGTCCAGTACCCACTCGAGCTTGCGCGGCTGCACGCGCGGGTGATCGGGCGCGTCGACGGGACTCAGCTGCGGCGCGCGGTACGACGCGTCCACGAAGGCGTCGCGGCCAGCTCGAATGGTCTGCGCAAAGCGGAGGACCGTGTCGGTGAACATGTCCGACACAAAGCGGAGCACCGTGTGGCCGTCCACGAACGCGTGCTCAAAGTTGCACGCGGCCACGCCGTTCTCGCACACGATCAGCTGCAGTTTGTCGTACCAGCGGTTCATGCACGTGCCCGTTTGCACGCCGTCAGTCGTAATGTTGTACGTGCCGTGCAGTGCGGTCGCAGCAGCGGCCGCTGCATCGAGCGGCGCAGTTGGATCGAGGCACACGAGGAACAGCGCGCGGTCAATGACGGCCAGCGCGGCCTCGTTCTGGCGCTGCAGCGTGGCCCGCAGCTTGGCCCACGTCGCGCGGCGCTCGGTCGTGAGCACACCGACAGCACTGGCCGCGGCCGCGACGTCGTCTGCGCGGCGCGCGTCGTCGCGGATGGCCTGGAGGTTCGCCACGAGCTCGCGCTCGGTAATGGCCGCGACGCCGTCGGGCCAGACGACGTCGAACCAGTAAAACTGGTTGCGGCAGAGCACGACAACGTGCGTCGCGCGGTCGTCGCGCAGGACGTGGTCTGCGTCGGCCGACGGCACGCGGGCACAGCCAAAGAGGCGTTTGTACTGGTGCATGCAGAGCGCCTCGTGGCCGCGCCACGTGTCGGGCTCGAGCGTCTTCTGCCGCACGGCGCGGACGACCTGGAGCGCGCCCGAGATGAGCGACGCGGCGCGCGGCAGCTGCGAGTTGCGCAAAGGCGTCGGGTCGTCGGCCAGCACGAAGAACGGGTTCCCGTGCAGCACGAGCGAGCGGCGGTGCTGGAGGTACGCGTCGGACCAGAACGCCTCAATGAACGACACGCTGTCGTGCGCGTGCGCGAGCAGCTGCTGCTGCAGACGCGGCCCGTCGCGCGCTAGAAACGCCGCCACGCTGCGCACGGTCTGCTGCTGCTCGGCGGGCGTCTGCAGCGCGGCGACGGACGCCACGAAGCGCGCGCACGTCTCCTCCAGCGTCGGGACCGGCAGCTTCGGCAGCGCTGTCTGGTGGCGGAACGTCGCGGACGCGTCGTCGGCGGGCGGCCGCCACGTGTTTGCGGCAGCGCTTCCGGTCGCGGCGGTGGCGTCCATGAAGACGGCGGCGGGAAGGCGACTGCTGCGTGTGAAGGAGCGAGCTGAAGTAGCAGCAACGAGACGTCGGGGGCGGCGGCGATCCAGTACGAGGGCTCGTTGTTGTAGGTTGAATCGAGCAGAAGGACGAGCCCCCTCTCTAGGTTGCCGTGCACAAACAAGACTGCTTTCATTGTGCGTTCAAAGCACTTTTTTCCATTCTTGCTTGGTTTTACGGACGAACATCCGTCAAGTGTGCTTAACGCCGCGGTGTTCGCAGACACATACGATCGACGCTATATGGAGCATGCAAGTGGCAATGCTACAAAGCACATGCAACACACTGCCTTCACGGCGTTGGCCAGAGCTTTAGGCATCTTATACACCAACACGAACTGCCATGAGCAGTTATTCGCCATATTTTTGCATGATACAGTTATCGCATGGCACCTTCGCTTCAGCCCCGTGCTCCCGTGCGTCTCTACTTTCCAGCACGACGAACAGCTCGCGACCCAGCAGCCAGCGCCTCTGCCTTCTTCGCTGCTTTGGCTTTCTCGCGCACGAGCTGCTCGGCCCGTTTCTTGAAAATGCCCGAGAGCTTCGGCATGATCGGCGGGGCGTCCACACGCTCCCCGAAACGCGCAGGCGCCGCGTCTTCAAAGTAGTCCTTCTTCGTCGTGCCCGTGGTCTGGTACTCGCGCTCGTAGCGCTCCTGCTCCGTCATCTTCTTGTCGCGCGCCTTGGCCTTCTTCTTGGTCAGAAACGTCTTGCGCTTCTCGCTGCTGCGCCGGTTGCGCTTGTTCGCGTCGTAGATAACGCGCTTCACTTCGGTACTGATGCGCTTATTGAACTCGCGCATGGATTCGCCCTCGCGAATCGAATCGATCTGCAGCTTCTGCTTCGTCGACTCGGAGCCCTTTGTATCGACGACCGACGTGCGCGCCACGAACTGATTCATGGCCTCGTCGCTCAGCATCTTGCGGCAGCGCTTCTTCGAGCGCTTCGACTGCGTGGGCGGCAGATCGTACGCTGTCTTTGTCTTGCCATTGTCGCGCTTGCCCTTGAAGAACGGGTCGCACTGCTTGAGCTTTCGCTTCGCACTCACTCGACCCATGTGCGCTCGTCGTGTGCGAGTGCGACGGATTGGTTGGCGAGCGGGCTCTCTCTGTAGAAGAATACGGTCAGTTGGTGTTGTGTTGGAGGGGGGGAGTTAGAAACGGTTCGTGTGCACCACTTCGCACAAGACTGACTGCGTGCGTCTGGTACCAGCTTCTTACCCACTGCCTTCGAACGCTATAGCAGCTCAAATGTATACTGCTGACTTTCGACAGCCGTAAAACCCGATGCGCGCCGCGCTCTGTGCGTGAGATCCTCCTGTCTGCGTCGCAGCTCAGTGCGTACACTAATGCGTCGGAACATACGCAGTATGACCAACACAGCCATCTCATGTTGCATGCCACGCATGCGATTCGGAATATGATGTCGCGAGAGCTGATGGTGCTGGCGTCATGTCGGTATACACACGCCCAATGCTATGCGTCAAGCTGACTGCGCAACAACAGCGTCTCGAGAGAGCAATGCGAGGAGTATCTTACGAGACGTCGGTGCGTGAAGCGCGTAAACGGATGAGAACCGGCTACTACGTATCCGTCCACGCTTCGTGCGAGTACCCGATCGAGTCTGTCCGCTACAGCTCCGACCGACCGCTGCCTCAATTCCTGCAGTCGAGGCAGTATGGAACTCCATCCATTACCATTCTCCAGACAGTATGTAACTGCGTTTATCACCAATCTCCGAAATCATATTTGTCGTCTTTTCACTCGTGCTTTCGCGTGTCAAGCGTTTAGAAACGCGTCCACTGCTTCGTGCAACATCACGGCATCGATCCATCCATCCACCCACCCATCCACCCACCCATCCACCCACCCACCCACCCAATCCCCACATCCGCCTGCGTCGCCTTCCCCTCCCGTCCAAAGCGATAGTCACAGCTCGCACCGAGACCCCACGACTCTATAGAAACGCCTCGGCCCCCCCCCGCCACCCGTCCTGCCGCCCGCGCCTCCTCCATTTCTAAACCGCTTTGACACGCCACGTCCGCTCTTCCTCTGCCTGCCATGTTCCCCCGCGCCTCTCCGCTCCTCTGCGCCGCGTCGCTGCGTCGCGGCTTCGCGGCCGCTGCCTCGGGCCCCTCGAAGAAGAAAGTCGCTGTGCTGGGCGCCGCCGGCGGCATCGGTCAGCCGCTGTCGCTGCTGCTCAAGGACTGCGACCACATTCAGCACCTGAGTCTCTTTGACGTGGTGCACACGCCGGGCGTCGCCGCCGACATTGGCCACATCAACACGCGCGCGCACGTGACGGGCCACGTGGGGATGGACCAAGTGGGCCCTGCGCTCGAGGGCGCCGACGTGGTGGTCATCCCGGCCGGCGTGCCGCGCAAGCCCGGCATGACGCGCGACGACCTCTTCAACACGAACGCCGGCATCGTGCAGGCGCTGGCGCGGGCGGCGGCCACGCACTGCCCCAAGGCCATGATGCTCGTGATCGCCAATCCCGTGAACTCGACGGTGCCGATCGTGGCCGAGACGTTCAAGCAGGCGGGTGTGTACGACCCCAAGCGCCTCTTTGGCGTCACGACGCTCGACGTCGTGCGCGCGGCGACGTTCGTGGCAGCGCACCAGCAGTGGGACCCGCGCGAGACGAACGTGCGCGTGATTGGCGGCCACGCCGGCACCACGATCCTGCCGCTCCTGTCGCAGCTCGAGCACGCGGCGTTCTCGGACGAGGACATTCGCCAGCTCACGCACCGCATTCAGTTTGGCGGCGATGAGGTCGTGCAGGCCAAGAACGGCACGGGGTCGGCCACGCTCTCGATGGCGTACGCTGGTGCGCGCTTTACGACGCGCCTCTTGGACGCCATGAACGGCGCCAAAGACGTGGTCGAGTGCTCGTACACGCAGAACGACGTGACGCAGCTGCCGTTTTTCTCAGTGCCCGTGACGCTCGGGCCCAACGGTGTGCAGGAGGTGCACCACTTTGGCGACCTCTCGAGTGTCGAGCAGGCCAACTTTGACGAGATGATCGTGACGCTCGGGGCCCAGATCCAAAAGGGCGTGGAGTTTGCCAACCAGAAGTAAGCGTTGCCCGACAGGCGAGCAGCCGTGTTGACGTGCTTGTTCTGGGCGCTGCCTTGTCGCTGGCCTCTTGGCTTGAGGTGACCACAAGGCGACTTGCTACCGGGCGGATGACGTGGTTGGAGGTCAAGCTTGGGTTGCAGCGGTACGCCATAGCCCGATCGAATGCAAATATACTCACTGTGTTGGTCCACGGTCCGTGTGTATCATATGCCGTGTCAAATCGCTATCGAACTCGCTCGATCGCTCGCCTTCAGTGGCGTAAACTGATCGTCCAGAGCTACACACTCACTTAGTCGATCGCAATAGTACCATTGTGGCAAGTGTTGACGTTGTTGTGCTTTAACAGTCAGGTGTAGACAGACTACTTGGAGGGAAAGAAGTCAATAGTGCACAGCGTTTTAGGAGAATGCAGACACTACGTCTTTGTTGGCATCACCTTATGGGGTAAGTCAAGTACAAGAACGGGTCGGTGGACGCTGGCGTTGCTACTTTGGCTTGGACGGTTCCAGGCATCTTGCACACGTTCTTGCCGTTCGATCGACAATGTGAACCTCACTTACTACCTATGGGTGCAGCTTCGCCGATTAAGGAGGAATGCCAAAGGAAGAGAGAGAGAAAGCAGACGCGTCTACTTTCAACCATTTACTGGTTGCAGGATGTCTGATGTAGCGTAAGCCTGGTTAGCAACGCTGGTACCTCGTTCGAGTCCAGATGTTGTACGGGGTGGTCACCGCAGGCGACGGCTCTCTTGGCTACCTGGCTAGTCGGCGCAAACGTATGAGCAGGCGTGTTCCTCGGATCTTGGTCTCGTCCCTGCAAATCTCCCGCTTCGCGACTGCTCGAAGTTGCCCGTAGACTTGTTCAACAAAATTCCTCGACACCTCCTGCAAGAATTACCTCTTCGCGTCGAGACACAACGCAATTGCGTTGAATCCACGAAGTTGTTGTACAAATGCTACTAAGCAGTCGCCATAGCTTCTTCCAGACCAGCGCAGAGTCTTGCTCTTCGTCTGGATGATCTCGCACGATACAGTCCGTGGCCACCTATGACAGCGCCAGCGCTGCTCGGCTGGCTGTATGGGTTGCGAAAGTGTTGCAGTTGGCTCACTTCACAACGTTCTCCCGTCCAATGACAAGTAAGTCTATGCCAGCAAAATTGGGCACCGGGACATGTCCAGAAGATGTGTTCCGGCGTCTTGACCACTCCACGGCAGCATCGACCTCTTGACAAGAGGGGTCAAGCTCCCGTCCCGCAAAATGAAGGTCATGTTGTCTCACCGTCAATCGATAGCAGACCCGTACTTGGTATTCAGTAAGCTCGGCGCCGTGCGCCCAAAGCAGCGCACAGGAGTCTGTGCAAACGCAGCAGCTTGCCAAGCGCTATTGCGCGCTGCAGTCTCAAATCCGGTCATCATCTGATGCAGTGCCCTGCCGGGACCTTTCAGCAATCGAAAAGGTTGGGCTTTTATGCCAACAGAACATGTCTGTTCGCGACTGAGTTCGGGACACTCCACGGGAGCTCATTGACCAGCGGGTGCGCGAAAAAGACAACGCCGCGTGCAGATTGGCTCCAACAAGTGTCAGACCGTCAGCTGTTGTCCACTGATCCAGTATGTTGTCCGCAGCATCTCTCCAGTGAACACCACCCCTCTCCTGGTCAAGCAGGATACCTACTCCCCGCTCAGTAGACGCGCACTCGCCGACTCGCGTTACTCGCCCGGCAAAAGTGACTCTCAACCACAGGCCGAACCAAATCTGGTGGGTGCCGCTGGCGCAGGGTCCGCTGAATTTGGAGATTGCCGCCACTGGTTATATCCGGCGCACTGGGCAGTATCTGTTGGAAGGAGGAGAGTGTTTGTATGCACTGCGTCGTTGCATAACGGACGACAGCCGATGGGTCGCAGGATGCGAAGAGTCGCTTGAAGCTGCGAGTGAGATTTGCACAAGTGGGCGCAGTAGTTTGCATGAGCACGACGGTAATACACAGTCTGCAAAACAACCACATCCGCGCACTTGTCTCCTACACGCACGCAGATGCAAAGTCAGTAGTATTGCCCCCCCCTCCAGCGACGCAACTTGGCGTGTTGGTGTCTGTATTGTCCAACCGGAGGAACGACGAAAGAGTACGTGCGGACGTCGACCCTCTGCAGGACCGGCTCCGCTAGTGAGTGAGTGGGAACGTGAGGTGTATTTAGGTACGCGTACGACAGTTGATATTCTGTATCTGGGCAACTAAGTAACCGCAACGAAGACTGTAAGAATACAGTCTTCCCTCCGATAAGTTTTCCCCCGACAAAGCTATAACCTCTAGTAGGGTATCGATCTTCGCGTCCATTGACCTCGCTCTACAGCCGCTAAGTTATAAGTTTCAAGATATGAACAAATAGGGCAACATGACTTTGAAAATGAGCACTTGTTTTCGTATTATAGAAGAAAAAAAACTACTTGAACCACATGCCGAGGGGGATTTGGGCGGGGGGAGTGTTGCAGAGATCAAGCTGGAGGTTGCAAAGGAATTTATAAGCTGCTTGGTGAATTTCCTGGGACACGTCGAGCAGGGAGCAGGCATCGCGAAGGAGGTTAATCTTCTCGGTTCTGGTAAATGTTTCTGCGACAGGTGCCGCATCTTCACTGTTTTCCTCTCATCATCTGTCTCCAAAACCTCTTTTAGAATCTCGTTGTCGGTAAGATCAGACAGAGCAGTCTCATCCTCTTCGATGAGATCGAGAAGCTCCAAATCTTTATGGGATCTCGGACATGCAGCTTCTTGAGCTGTGCTATCAGCTCTTACTCCAGCTCACTTTATTCCTCCCCGACATCCGTTGCGCCATCTTTACTCCCTTCTACACTCCACTGCACTTGAAATGACCGATTCAGTAGAAAAGGGCCCCTTGTGGATGAAGCAGTTGGCAATGGTAGTACTTGGAATCTCGTTCCAGGCAGCCACCGACCAGCGCATGGCAATAATTTGGTTGACTTTGTACATGTTAAAACCCTCCGTACGCTCGTCACAGTCGATCGCAATCTGCAGATGGCAACGGCGACACCGCCGCTTGAACACTGCGATGACACCAGCACCTATCGGCTGAATCATGATGGTTGTACGTGGTGAAAGCAGCCGGACTTTGACGTTAGCTAACGTAAGGTCATTCGTCATATGCGACGAAGCGTTTTCAATCAATAGAAGGAATTTCTACTTTTGATCTGAAACAATACAATATTAGAATAAACGTTTTCTTATTTCAAATGGCTACGCACCTTCATTGCTTTGTATAGCTTTGCAAGTCATTCCTGGAAGAACACGCCCATCATTCAAGCCTTTGTGTTGTTCCGATAGAGAAATCCATGTGCTTGACCTGGTTTCTTGTCAAAGTAGCGGGGCCTCTTGGTTTTTCCGATAAAGAGATGCTGCAGCTTGTCAGATCTGTGATGTAGATAATTTCAGTCCCGGAATATTAGTTTGGCGACTTAAGTGTCGGCGACTCGAGCGACAGTGGCAAAGGTCGGCAAATGAGTGTCGACGACTCGGGTGTCGGCGACTTGCGTGTCGGTGACTCAAGGGTATAGCAGGATGCGGGTATATCGAACGACAGATTCATCACTTTATTCGTATAGGGACTAGGGAAGGACAGAGAGCTATTCAAACTGGCTCTGAGAGAAAGCGAAAGAGATAAACCAATTCAGAGGAGAAGTTTCGAAGTCCAAGACACGCGTACACTGAAGGTAAGTCCCCGCGTGGGCTAGAATATGCCTGCCGTCGCACCTCGAGAGGCATAGCTTGTAGAGGTATCGACTGGTAGCGTCAAGAGTTGAGAAGGCCCGGGTTGGGCAGCGCTCGCTACTAGCGAAAGAAAGAGTCTCGTCGTCGACGAGCCGGTGACCTAATAGACGGCTCCGTTGAAAGTCTTGTCAAGCGACAAGACGGTAGGCCTCAGCCGAGGGCATCGTAATTCTTCTAGTAAGACGGAAACTACGCCCGGTGACCTGTAAAAGCGCGTGAGCGTCGGCTTCCACCCGTTGGTGTGGAGTCACAGGAAGAAAGAGGTTTAGAGGCTGCTGAGCTCAGGCAGGCCTCTGTAGGAGTGGTTGTAAAGAATCGGCTAGGCGAAAGCCGCAACTGAACCCGAAGGGGAAAACCACGTAGGGATTTATCCAAACGTACTAGCCCGTTGCGCTGACTAAGCTTGGCGATTGTTGTGTTTGTACATTGAGGCTGTTATACGACGGAATTGACTAACCACTATACCACAGATCCATCAGCATTTGCAGTGAGCGCAATTGTAATCCGCGACTGCATAGGATATCAGTGCATACCCATGTGGTAGTATATGGCAACAGGCATTCTGCGATACACTCACCTTGTCTTTTTGTGTCCTTCAATTTTTTTGCTGTGCAATAGTCCTGTCAGGCGTCATGCTGTAGTATAGACCTGCAAATTAATTTTGTCAGACTCGGTTTCAACTAGAAATATAACATACGAAATTTACCGGTTTAATCCATGTTTAAACATCACATAGCGTGTACTCTGCAATGACCTTCTTTACACCAGGCAGAGCTTTATTCATAGCCTCCACGTCCACCGAGCCGCTTTCACTGTAAATCTTGATAGAGCGTAGCATGTGACGTAGCTAGAATTTATGAAGCCATCCTTGCGAGAACGTGATGGCGTCGTCAGGAGTACCAAGCAATTAGGCAAGACGATGAGCCTTCGCACAGATGATGTCCCCGGTGATAATCCCTCCGCGGTGTTGACATTGCAGTACCCAAAGAGACACAGCTTCTTCCAGCATGGGGTGTTGGACCAGTCGCTTTCGCTTTTAATTTAGACTGCTTGGATCCATATTTTCTAGATTAGACTGCTTTCGAAAGAACTTGCTGATTGATGCCTGTTACAGCGTTTTGACAAGGCCTAACTCCATCGTAGCCCATTTCGCCAGTGCCTTTTGAGATAAATATGGGTTCTCATCCTTTTTTGCGTATTTGCAGACGGTGTCTATTGT